CCTCTAGGGGTCGCGTGATGCACGGACGACATTTCACATTCAAGTCTGTGCTAGGTGATACAGCAATCACACTTGTTGCTCCCACAGTAACTGGTACACTGGTTGATCAGGAACATCCGTATGTTGCTCATGGACCATGGCTTCAAGTCCTTATTCCTGATGATCTGGCACAACTTATTTCAGATAGTTTTGAAGACCTGGACAATCCAGAGGAGGTAAGACGATGTTTTGAATATCAGACATTGAGCTGCAGATGTTACAGTGTAAAATTTTGCATGAAGATGATCTTACACAATATTAATCAGTTGATCTTTGTAATGTGAAGTGTGGTGAGGTACAGATTGAATTATTGAATATTATTTGGATGAGCTCCAGCTTCAGAAGTTGCATCTTATAACTAAGTAATGCACACAGTTTTTGCCTGGAATTTTTGTTAAAATAAACTAAAATTATTTGCTTAAACTGTGGTTTTCTGGATTATTACACAGTATAGTCGTTCATTTCTTCATCACTGTTTTGGAGGAACATCTGTTTATTGTATCATACATCATGTAATGCTCGAGGCTATGTATATATTAGATAATTATAATAATTAGGTAATTTAATAAACTTCATAAACGGTGCTCTTAGCCTTGTAAGTGACATATGAGCATTGGTACATTGCAGAAAGCAAGTCCTTATTGTTGAATTCAGTTTATAAAACTGAAAGGATATGGCATGAAGGTTTATAAAATATTAATACAGGAGGGCAATACAGTGAAACCTCTATCCATCGTTCCCGGAACTATCGTTTTCCCGGATGCATCGTCCGTTTTGTTCGGTCCCGAATACATCCCATATAAAATAATGTTACATTTTCCCGCTTCTATCGTTCCTCGAACTATCGTTTTATCGCATCGATCGTTCAAAAATCTTAGTCCCGGCCCACAATTTTCCCGCAATGATCGTTTCTGAGAAATTAAAATGCTGGGTTTTGAGATAAATTAATACCGAAAGACGCACAATGTTTTTGGAATAAACAGTAGCGGTAACCTGTTATGTCGCCCAACCAGCACATTCTTTTGGAATGAGGGTCTGTGGTGCAGGGGTGATAGTTGGAGTGAATGGCGGTGCCCATTGTCAGAAATTTTACGATTTTAATTTGGGTGCACTCATATTTCGTTCCAGCGATGCCAGATGGCATGTGCAGTGTGAATTTCTTCACAAATGCTTTTATTATAAGTACAAAGGAAAGGCTGGCGGCACTTTTCATTCTTCTGGTTCATCTTGTTTCCAGCGGTTCTGGGTCTTCTACAGCTACGTTTCGTTGAGTTCGGCAGTAATAGTATTTCCATTCTTCCTGTTATTGTCCGCAAAGGGGGTTGGAGTGGTGAGGAAGAAGAAGAAGACGACGAATGCAAGCCCGAAGCTTTGCCGAGTTTTGCCGAAGCGCACGCTGCATTGGCGAAAGTGAAGTTGTTCTTTTATGCGCTTAATATTAGTGAACGTGACGAGGAAAACATTTTGAACGTGGAAAGTGCTCTGTTTGGTCTAAAACGTAAAGTTTCGACAAACCAGTTGTCCATTAAAGACTTTTTTGGTAAAAAGAAGTAACTTTGAAAGAGAAACATTGTTTTTTTTTAAAATTTTTAATGCTTTCCCGCATCTATCGTTTTCCCGCATTCATCGTTTTTATTTCCCACCCCCGCCGAAAACGATGCATTGAGGTTTCACTGTATCTATTATTCATTGAAGTGTCTGTCATGTAAATATGGAAATAACAAAGAATAACGCAGCATTCTTGTCATCTTTAGCGTTATCTGAAGTAAGATGTTAGATTTTCATATATTTAATAACATGTTGTATTTTCAGCCGACCACACATTAGGATCTCTTATTTACAAGTAAATGTTTGATATGTAAGCCACATTATGTGTTGGTTATAAATTCTTCAATCATACAAAACAATTGATTGCTTTTTATTGTTGTTCTTCAAAATGGTGACTTCACTCAGAAATATTACAAGAACCTTTGTATTCCAATGTAAACACCTGTGTCTCATTGCCATAATTAGGATTAAACACTTTTAAATTAACACAAGGCAAAATCTAAATAAGCAATCTTGTTTACTTTTCAAGTAACACAGTAGAGAGTGAAACAAGCAGATGTTTTCAAACCTCCTCACTGCGTTACGCATTAAAAAGGTGGACCATCAGAGAGTATGTCACAAGATACAGGTAGCCCTCGATTTATGCTGAGGATGTGTTCCTGGATGAACCAGAGTAATCGGAATCGGCGTAAATTGGAACTATTTTATAACGTAAATCGATGGGAAGTCAATGACATGCGTTCCCAGCACCCAAACATTGGCGAATAATATAATGGCATTACATTTAAAGCTCTGAAACAACATAAATAAAATATTATGATTTAGTATAAGAAGCAGTATGAGAAACATTGTAAAACATTATAAATAATAGTAATATATATTTTTTTCACTTTTTGACTATCTGGTTTCAAAATCGGCGTTATTCTGAATCGGCGCGAATTGGACCAGTTCAAATCGAGGGCTACCTGTATATAATTTATCTATATATTATATGTAGCATATTTGTTGATGATGTTGGAAGATTGAACAATGATGGGATTCCAAAAGACACTGGTAAAAATAAATTCAGTATCAGAAATAGGTGATGAGTAGAAGTATCTTTAAAGTATTGAAGCGTTTTATAGTTCATATAAGAGGCAAAATAGTCATATAATAATGGGAAAGTTGTTGATGTCTTTGCTTATTGTTTCAGCTAATTCTCCCAAAGACATTTGTGTGGTCAGATCATAAGTTGGCTATCACAATTGTGGAAGACAAGTAGTGCAGTTCACGTGAAAAAGACATAGTTTGTGTCTGTTTTGGCTGGTCCAAGTTTGTCTTTAACCAAGCTTTACAAAGATTTGATACAGTTAAGACATTCTGAATGCATGTGTGTGTGGTAGGTACAGTGAAACCTGTTTAAGAAGGTTCATGAATATTTTCTGATTGTTAATTTTGAAATGTGGGAGCCCATTGTACACGAAGATCTTAATTGCATCAATACATGAGAATAAACATGAACACATTGAATGCAGACATACATCGAACACATTTTTTGTGTGAAAGAATTTACCTATTTAGACAGCTGCTGGTTAGTTAACACACTTATGTAATTTCCTTCATAATGTAACATACATATGCAGTCCTTGAGGATGACATATATTTACTGGTACTTATGAATATTCTGTGAAGTATGCAAGATAAATGTTGTTTTAATGCAGTGTTATAATTAGGTTTTCCTTTTGAAACCTCTTATGTCTGAACTGTCATGTGTTGAATGTTGATAAATAACTTCATCTTGTTTTGTGATTTAAAATGCTCTGTTGTTAAAGAAGCGAGCCAAAATGTCATTAATGTAATTTTTAAATTCTCGTTTTGGCCGAGAAGCATATTCGATTTCTTTTCAACTTTAATACATATTTGTCATTGCATTTAACTTTGAAAGTGAACCCTAAAGTTCGAACTTGGCACAGTGATGACCCAGATGAATCCATTTCGCTTCTGCACAACTTGTTTTCCTTAGATACGTTTTAATATTATCCTCCCACCTCTCCGATCGGCAGTTCTTAGAAACATATCCTAATCAAAATTCTGTACGTATTTCTTGCTTGAAACACCAGATATTAAGACACAGATCGAATAAAGGATGATTAGTTAACGTGCAAGTAGGAAATGATTAATGCGTCCAAAATTTTGGTTAGAAAGCCTGATGGTTATGGCTTAAGATAGGGAACTGAGGTGGCCTCTTGTGAACATGGCAATGAACCATTGGGCTCTGTAAAGGACGATGTATTTCTTGATTATCTAAGCATGCTGGTAGCTTCGCAAGGACTCAGGTCCGTGGAATTAGATAACTTATTATTTCTAGCCCGACTGAACTTACTTAGACTAGCGTAGGAGCACTAAGTATGGCGTATAAATATGGAAGGTAGTCGTGCTGTAATTCCCCTTTCAGCTTCCCTTGCTGTCTGTTGGCAAGCGGTCTTCAGAAACACGTGGAGTCCTTTGACAAGCTTAATAGCTTGCAAGTCCTCAGGAGGATCATACGCGTTGGAGTTTTATCACTTACAACCGTTTTAGCTGTGATGTTCCAAGTTTCAGGTAATGAAGGAATGGCTGACAATTCATTTGGCGAAATGTTGAGCATGTAGACTAGTTTTATCACAGAAATTTTTTTTTATCTTGCGGAGCTTTGAAATGTGCGTCTGTCAGGATCCAGTTTTCGAAGTGTGTTGATGTAATTCAAACAGTAGTTTATATCATATGCCAGCAATAGGCTAGAATGTGTGGATTGACAGTGACTGATTACCTGTTGAATGAAAATTTTTATCCAGTTGAAGCAAATTTGAGCTTATGAATGTTAAATACGAATGTAACTGGTAACATTCGTTCTACCAGGTTTAATGCAGTCTGCATGACGTCATCATGGATAATGTGGGTTGTTGCGCTGTGTAGACTGGTCGATGTTAACCAACATTTCAGAGATCATACTGTCATCGCCCTTATGACGGAGGCAGTATGACCTCTGAAACGTTGGTTAACATCGACCAGTCTACACAGCGCAACAACCCACAAGACAGAAATCTTCAAAATGTCTTGTCTTTTCTAATGTTTCTTGAGGACTAAGATTCAGTATGATATTAATTTGGGCTCACCACTTTTATCTTCTCACATAAACGGTTGAAATTAATCTCTTGAAAGACTTCTTATTGAGGTTTCACTGTGTGGTGTTAAATAGGGTTGTCAGTTTTTAGTTGCTCATTCCCAACTAGGGTATGTAATGTGCATAACGAGAAAGCCAACATGTGGTCTCTGGTCTCATTCAGCTTCTACCTCAGGTAATCACTGTTGTTGCATCCCTTATCCCGAGGGCCGAGAGTTTCTCCAGATAGGATTGCAGTGGTCTAGCGTTGTGGCTAAAATGGTGAGTTGGGTGGTGTAGAAGGTTTTTCATTATACGGTGGGACTGGTGTGAAATCCTTAAGATCTTGCTGAGATACTGTAACAGATCTTTATTGCTGCATCTTGAAGTTCAGGTGATAGAGGTGGATTTTCCAAAGAAATAGTTAAGTGTCTATGCCTAATATTTTGACCAGAACGTCAAAGGAAGTTTCACTACCATACTGCAAAACCAGAGCTAAATCTGAGGGTAATAATTTTGAACATGTTTACAACCCTATTTGACAGCATTTAATACTATTATTTTGTCTGTAAATTGTGCATACATGATTGTAGGTCATGGCAGTGTTGTGTGATTAACATATACAGCACAGCAATGGATCTGAAACCAAGTGTGAGTGGACATTTCGTGCCTGCATTTGAGAAAGTCTCTTCATCCCTGCTGAGCCACACTTTTTATGTTCTGTTAGCCATCAGTTTGCAGATATACTTTGTGAAATTAACATAAATGAGTAACTGGTGCAGGATACAATATATCAACATATTGAAGAACGTTCACGAGGAAATAAATTTACTCTTTAATAGTGAATGCCATCCGGCACCTTACCTTTTCTTAGCAATATTGTTACTTCCTTGCAGGACAAGGGTTGGGGAGGGATTTCCTAAGCTGGGAAAATGAACAAAGCTCTCTAACTTCTTCCAGGGGTTTTAGATCCATTGGTCCTGCAGGACACCGGATAAGACTGACAAGTAGATTTTAAGTGCCCTTAGAATATGCAGCTATTATCTAAGTAGTAGAATTCCAGTGCTTATTAAGTACTCCAGTTAAAGGAAATTAAAATACAGGTATTTATTTTTGAGGTGACTGGACGGCATCATGAAGTAAATACTGGAATGATGGTGTCGCCTCATTGGGACTTGAATGTAACAAGTTAGTCATGTTCATTGATCAACTGAAAATATTTTGTGTTGAATATGCTATGACTTTTAAGTTCATTCATTTAAGTACTTGATTCTTTCACTGCCAGTGAGCTAAATGAACTGTGCTGGTTCTACACCTACAGCAATCTTATCTAGTTGTTATCTTTACAGGTTGATTTTAAGATTTGCCAGTGTTCTGAGTCAACATTGTTTTCATATTGGCATTGCCTTTATTATTGTGACTGTTGATTTTTACAAAATGGAAACATTTCGTTTGAACATATGTCGCTTGAGTTCTTTATGTCCGTTAAAATATAGGCAAAAAGAAAGCAAATTTTGGCCTTTTTAGAATTTTTTAATCTTCACTTAAGAGGACTTCTTTTTTAGTACTTTTTATTTGTGTTATGGGGAGTTGTCAGACTTCTTACTAGTACTGCTCTCTGATTTTGATAACTGAGCTTCAACTAGCTGTGCTTTCACGAACTCTCAGCAGGGCGCCCCTGTCAGATGGTCGCAGTAATACAGAGCAAAAACAATGTAAAAGTGTCGCTTATAAACGGTGGTGAAACTGAAAAAATGTTACGGTTTCTGTTCCACATAATCTCCACAGCAACCTCTTTAAGTATTGTACTAGAGCTTTGAATCAACCTGTGTTTATTTATTATTTCTTCTTACTTCTGAAAAAAGGTCTGGCTTGTAAATATTGTCTGTGAAACAGCCTAGCAGTTATTACATAGTCTCTAGAAAGAAATTTGAAGAGATTTGTCTGATTTTGTAAACAGAATTAGTGTTATATACTCAAGAGCAATGGTCCATTTGGAGCACTGCTAGTTTTTAAGTATATCATATGGTACTGTATGTTTGAAATTACAAGTAGAAATTATTCTCTACTTTAGTTTATTACTGTATAAATTTCAAGCCTGTAACATGTTTCATATTTAAACATTCATATTACTAACTTTTGTATGTGTGGGATAAAAGTTAAACATCTCCAAAAGTTTATAACGTCTGTTTAAAAAACTATGAAACAAATATATGTTTTATATATGGGAATCAGGGAAATGTCAGGAACCCAATCTGTAAAAGGCTTGAAATTTTGTTTGAGGCTTGAAATTCTCATGTCGGTGAAGGTGTGGTCCTGTAGGTGGGTACCAGTGTTTCAGAGGAATGTATCACCTCCATCTTCAGGGTGAAGACTTCCTCCTACATGACCACATAGCATCATCACTAAAAAAACATGGTCGGGAAATTTAACTAGGTGAGCAATTGTTCACTTCTCAAGAAGGACCCTGGTGTGTAGAGTTACTTTTATTTTAACTATATGTTACAGAAATAGTTTATGCAGTTGTGAATTCTATGAGGATTACAGTTTTAAGCAGTGTTGGACTCTGGGCATATTTCCAGGTGGGATTATTGCCTGTTGTATACTCAGGCATTTTAAATTCGTCCTAACAGGACGCATGATTATCTTCTATTCAGACATTTCAGACTGAACTGATAGCACGTGGGGAGCAACATCTTATGTTGAAGCTGCAACTAACTTGGCAAACTATAGGATGTCAGTCAGTATATTCCATCAGTAGTCATACATTTTACATTTGTTCTGAAGTGTCCTGATGATGGTGTAATACAGCCTAGATTGTTACGTTTTTGACCTTTGTACATTGTCCGGTGTTGTAAGATTACACAACGTTTCAAGGACTGGATATGCCCTTGTCTTCCAGTGGAATCCAGTATTTGAGATTAGCTCATTGTAATGGACCATGCAGAGTGGGTGCCCTTCCCTTTCACCACGTCTGAAAATGAGGGCAGATCCAGTCTTTGCAACATGTTATTTTATAACACCAGTTGATGGACGAAGTCCAAAAGCTCAGCAATCCAGAAGTAATGTTTGTTGTTGAGAAACTTCTAATACTCGTAGTGTATAACGTTTCTCTCTGTAGAAATTAGTAGTAATCACAGCATAAGTTCGTGTTTTGATGTATTGTATAATCCCTACCATAGCTGTCATTTGCTGATATTTTGTTTAGGTTACTGCTAATTTTTCATGGGGCAGTTGAAAAACAAAATCTGCTTATTCCTTGTTGATGGAATTGGTGGTTTTAGGGAGAGTTTTTTGTTCATCTTTTGCAGTTTAGCTTAACTCTGTCGTACTTAGATATGTATTTGTTGTGTAAGTTACCAAGAACCACTACTTTCTGTCACAGACTTCTCAGAGGACAAAATCTTTCGAAACCAAATTCATTCTGTGGCTGAGGAATTCCGAAGGCCCCCCCTTTTTTCTTTTTTCAAAAAACTATAATTTTTATAAAACCTGAAACCTCAAACTCCACAATATAACTTGGTCATCTTCAGTAGCTATCATCATAGCCATAATGGTCTCCAGTCAACTTCTTCCTGTATTAAGATTAAAAATTCAGTTCCATAAAAACTGAAACAAGTGCTTACTGGTTACAAGCCATCACTTCTCCAGTCTGGAAATTGCAGATGCATAAACAGGAAATGTACAGATGTAACTATTATGTTCTTAGAATTCACACTTTTAGTTTTTATGAACATTTACTTTAGGTATCCATTGCGTACAGGTGTGCAGAGTATTGACCATTCATGATATGATGGTTTTAAGTAGCTGAAAGTAATGTCCAGTGGATGGCATTCTACCCATTAATCCCTCACTTCAGTTGCCATTATCCTTATTGCAGTAACATTAATTTTCATGAAGTGAAGAGTAAGATAATAAACCTTAATAACTAAGACCCCATTTAGCTAAGAGCATGTGGTTATTACTGTCTGTCTGAGCAGAGAATTCACTCAACCTTACAACCAGAAGTACCCATAGTTTTCCATTAGTTTTCTAGCTATGTGGTGGTCTGTCTCATTTTTGTATTTTTATTATTTCATAGGTAAAGTGAATGCAGTATATTAGCCAGGTCAGCAGATTGCATTGGAACATTTTCAGTATGGGGTAGTGTTTTTAGGACAGCATTCTGCATGACATCACAACTTCAAGGTTGAGTCAATTCTCTGCTCAGACAGACAGTACTAGCACTGCATGTTATAATGTTTCCCGGTCTATGTTTGTGTTGTAATGTTCCTTTATGTAATATATGTAAAAGTGTATTTTATTAGATGTAGCAAATCTGTGCCTTATACCATAAATTTGGATTTTAAAGTCAATTTTTATATAATTCTTGATGTTTGTATACTGATTCTGTACAGAGCATATTTGTAGTTTTTTTATGTTGTAGATAGATATTATGACAAGATAAATTTGTTTTCTTTTTTCATATGGATAAGCAAACATGAGAAACTAATTTTAGTGCTGCATTGAATGGGTTGTACTCTTTTCTAAGTCCAGTCATATAAGAATGTAAAATTAATTAATCTGTAAGTGAACCACTTATTTTATTAATGTCGTACACAGCTATAAAATCACAAAACATGTGAGTATGCATGGCGAATTCATATCACCATCTTCAGGCAATAAGTTAATTTGATGCAATTTTACATTTGTTGGTAACATACTTGGATTTTGGAAATGGGTCTATTTTTCTCATAAATGTCATACATTCATTAAAATGAATAGCAAGATAAAATTATCGACATGTGTGTGGAAACAGTTATAAGATATATGATCTGAAGTTTCATGGTGACTAAGTATAAAGGGTTCTTGAGCTACCAGCCATATCAGGTGGTTGAAAGGTGAAAAGTGTTTTTGCCTTTCAACTGCCTGAGACAGCTGGTAGCCCAGGAAGAACTCAGTAATAAGATATTTACAGAGCATAGGATGTTTTAGGTTTTGGATTACTAGAAAGATGGAAGGTGTTAGATAATCAAATTGATAATACAATTATATGTTTGTAGACATTACTATATACAACATTTTTAACTTCCATTCTTATCTGGTTGCATGATTTTGAAAGAAAGTGGTTTTATTGTTATTATTATTATTGATAATAGAACTGGGTAGCTCAGTTAGTATAGTGACTGACTACGGGCTGGACCATTGGGGTTCGATCCCTGATAGGGGCAGAGGATTTTCTTGTAGCCTCTGCATCCATACTGGCTCTGGGGCCCACCCAGGCTCCTGTTCAATGGGTTCTGTGGGGTTCGAAGAATTATACTGTGTCCACAAGACGTCACACTCCAGAATAACACATTTTTTCTAGATAGTAAATTATGGTCAGTAGTGACAAGTATGGTCTCATATCTTAATAGTTATGTTAGTTGTGAAAGAACATTTAGGATAATTTGATAGTATGATGTACTGTCATGTTGTGTTCTGTGAAATTAACATTTGTGTCATGAATTCAAATTACTATTCTTTTCAATCTTTCATGGTATCATATGACAGCATATATTGCATTTGGTTTCACAGAGAAATTGATTTATATTTCAGCACCAAAATGTGTCTACAAACTGTATGTATGTTTTACTCACATTCTGAAAATTCTTGACCACAAGAAAGCAACATAAAATTTCACTCAATTGATTATTATAAGTTCTCACTTAAGAGTTCAGGTGTCTTGTTAAATCATTGTAACAAATGGTACATATTAATAGGAAAATGATACCGCATTTTATTCAAGTCCAAAACCTTCTGCATTTGAGATGGCAATGATCAGTTTCTGTCGTAGCAAGTCTTCATTCTCATACGTTGGTAACACCAGCTGATTGAAGCATGTATGTGCTTCTGGGAGGTTGTCAGGTTTATTGGTGACCTTTGTTATTTTGAACGTCATCTCTCCCATGCCACCTACTGGCACGCGATCACTTCCAGTTGCAAACAGCAGAAACTTCTTTTTCAGCTCATCTGAGAGTGAATGCAGCACTTCCCAGAAGTCTCTGTATGGATGAACAACCCATTTTAAATTATATCTCTTTCACTTTCTCTGTGGAGTACAGTCCTTTTGGAAAAGCTAACAGTCACTCAACTGGTCGATAAATTCCCTGTCTTTTATGAAACCTGGAGATTTATTACTGTGTTCACATTGCTGTGAAAATCACATGTTAGAAAGGAAACTTATTTTCTGTGGAATCAAAGGAATTCTTTTTGAAATGTCAGGCACACCGTGGATTGATACAAGATACTTACATGATGATGGGATCATCCGCTTTGTAACCATCATACTCTGTGACTTTCCTGAGCTCATTGAGATCTAGTGTAGGTGATCCACAGACTAGCATCTCTACTTCTTCTGGTCTCAGCATCTAATTTACAGAAACAGCACTGTAGTATCCATTAACAGGTCTTTATAATGCAGAGATATGTTTCATGAGATGAACAGCATGAAAGTGTTTGGTGATAATGAGTATTAAATATGGGAAATACATGCAGTAATATAAACAGTACAATTAGGTAATGAATGTATGAAGAGTTTCATGTTATTTGTTCAGTGACTGATATTTTAAACATTTTAAAATATGATGGGAATGTGAATAAAAATAGGATAGTTATTGATCCACTGCATTAAGAACAGATGCAATAATTGCATCTGAGTATGGCTATCATCAATTACTGGTGATGATGGTAAGCTGTATTCTGAGAAAGATAATGAGAATGCAATTATAGTGGCATAAAACAGTACAGATTCCACGTTATTTGACTTAGACTAGGTGAAAAGGACAATTAAGAATGTATAACTGAAACATGCAGTAAGAAACTAAATAAATATATAAGGTCTGTCTTTTGGGTTGTTACACCATGTAGTCTGGTAGAAGTTTACCAGTGTTTCAGGGGTGTGGTGATGGAACCAGAAAACAATTTAACATCTAAATAGAATATTTCAAACATAGTTCTGGATTTATTTATCTACTTTATACAGGTCATACAATGTGAGGGGGTGAATGATTAGAAAGGAGGAGCACAAGAAACATGCCTTCACAGCTCTCCTCACTACAGATTACATAGTGATCAACCAGGTTTGTTTCTGATATCTGTTTAATGAGACATTTGGTTCAGATATACTTACAATGAGAGCATTAGATGCACAGACACTGTGGAATCCTAGATAAAAGGCTCGAAATTGTTCGTATATGGCAGCATTCAGTATCCAGTCCAAGTAGAGTTGTACATATTCCTTACGATTCTCATTTGTCACGGGGATATTTTCCCCACTGTCTTTCAGTTTATATGTTTTAACATCACCATATTCCTCCAGTGACACCTAATAATACAAAATCACAAGCATTTTTCTTAATAATGCTGCATATACGACATTTATGATCAAATCAGAGAATGGAATGAGCTATAAATTTGGCACATATTGGAGAAATGAGAAATATATACATTTTGGTTGGAAAACCAGAAGAGAACATTTGGGAGACATGGAGAATATTTACAAGACTATGATGCATACAGAATGTTAATAGTTTAACTACGTACTCTTGGGAAAATTTTTGAGTCGAAAAGCTTAAATAAACGTGGGTCCGATCTGCAACGGTTTGTCTAGAAAATGCTTCCGCACACTCTGTGCATTGGCTGGGTTTCAATAATTAGTTCACAAAGCTGTGCATGTAGGCAAGACACGGCAGTCAGTACTTGAAGACCGCTTGACAACTTAAGGTACAATTTGGCTGCACGCGACAGAGACAAGCGACCGAGGCAGGCGACAGAGACGGGAGACGGACACATCGCAGCTTGTCGCCACACACTTCTGAGGTGGCGACCGAGACATGCGGCAGAGTGTTTGTTTTCTTTGTTTTGTTGAGACATACGTGCACATATTCTGTGAAAAATGAGTACACAAATGCTTCTAAAAAGGTTACTCGAAGAAGAAGAAGAAGATGATGTGTTGCTGTGTTATTTGTTGCGAAAGAAACAAAGAAAACCTATGAGTTCAATATTCAAAACCAGACCGCTCGTAATTGTACTTCATACGATTGTACAGAGAGCAGACAGGAAGCGACCAGTCTCGGTCTCGTAACTCTGTCGCCTGCCTCGGTCGCTTGTCTCTGTCGCGTGCAGCCAAATTGTACCTTTAGCGCTACTTGCGTTTCCTAAAAGGAGAGCTGCCATTGATGTTGGAAGATGTTACTTTGCTAACCGGGCAAGAGATGTGGCTGCAGCAAGATTGCGCAACCCATTTTGGTAGGCCGGTGATTTCATTTCTGAATCAACAGTTTCAAGACAGTTTAGATGGCCGAGGTGGCCTAGTTGCTTGGCCAGCGAGATCACCAGATCTTTTCCTTTTTTTTGGACTACTTTCTCTGGGGTTACATGAAATCCCTGGTGTATGCCATCAAGTCAAACAGCGGAGGGGTGAGCTGCTGAATCGAATAATAAGACTCTGTGAAGAGGGCTGTTACTTTAATTACACGAAGGGCTCAACTGTGCATCTTCAATCAGGGTGGCCATTTCGAGTCGCGTAAATAACGTGAGTAATTGAAAATGCAGTTTAGAGTGTAGTCTAAACTTAAAAATAATAATAATAAAAACAACAACAATAACGTAACCTAAAATTAAATGGAAATAACGTAAAAGTTACAAATGCAGTGAAATTCTCATTCCCATTTTCTTGACAAACCATTGCAGATTGGACCCATGTTTATTTGAACTTTTCGCCGTAAAATGATCACAAGAGCACGTAGTTAAGCTATGGACATTCTGTATAGTGATTTGTAGGCTTGTGACCATCTAGTGCACATTTAACAAATTGTTTGAAAAAATCAGTGGTACATTTTAATTCTGAAACACTACTTGTTTTGCAAGTACAGAGTTTACTCCTGTAAAGGTTAGAACCCTGTAAATAGCACACGTTTTTTTAGTGTGGTCTGAGTTTAACTGTTACACAGGAATTTAATTACACCAGTATTCATTATTGTGAACGTTTTCTGTAAGAGTCTATGCTACTTTTATAGGGGGTGAACAGTATTTTTGTTATACAGGTATCCATTATGCTATTTTACTGTAATAATTGCTATAGTTATACCATAGCATTTATTCTATGTTCAGATTAACAAGGCAGGGAAATTTTCTGATTATCTGAGTGACATTAGTTTCTTCATGCATTTAGTTAGTTCTATAACTCGTGTTTCAATGCTGAACCTAATCTGTGAGAAATGAAAATCTAATCAGTAACTGAAAAACAATGAAGAAGTTTATTAGTAACTTAAACATGACTGTCAGTTCATGCAGTGTTCTATTTAAGGGAGGATTGAAGAGTTTAAAAATATCTCTATTTCGTAGACTTTGAACTTCTCAGAGCTTTTCTGCATTTTTTTAAATTTCTCTTTTAAATTAATTTTGAGAGTTCCAGTTCCTTAGAACGATCTTATAAAAAAATGAAGTGTATTTCCTCCACAGATAATAATCTGTATTCATACATTTTAAGTCAGTAAAGGTGAACAGTGTTTTATTAAATTTATCCGTGAAGATTTGACAATTACTTTTAGACTTATGTCACTTGCCAGAACATAACTGTAAATATTATTTTCTCTGTTTGCTAATTAACACATTTACCACCAAACATGTCAAGCAACGATGGCTATCTCGTGGGTTGTAGCACCATTTAGTCTGGTAGAAGTTTACTAATGTTTCAGAGGTCCTTGCTGCCCCTATCATCATTGCATTACAACCCAGAAGACAGCAGTCTTCAGACTCACTGCTATGAAAACCTCAAATCCTACAGGTTGTTGTTGTTGTGAAACAACAGGAGTTCTTGGATCCCATTTCTGCACAACATTAGGTTTCAACAGTGGGGACCCTTTGGTCCCATTGTTGCAATGAGGATGTCAAATGTGGTCTTCTGGGTTGTGATATTATATAGTCTTGAACACAACTTCAACCCTGAACATGGAGGTGATACATTCCTCCAAAATGTTGGTAACCACTTACATGGCAGAAGACCACAACTGATATGTTCAGGCATTGTTTATTTTAGTTTGTTTTGAAACATAAATCCATGTCATTTTGAAACTCTTGTCTTTTATGTAAAATTACTTGCTCACTAGGATCACAGATTACTTAAGAATAACACGGTTATGTGTTTACTTGACCGATTCAAGTACACGGAAAAGCTTACCTGAAAGCTCATGCACATATCTTCTTCAACATTACCCTCATACGCCAGTAATTCTGTAAGCCCACGGGACACATCCTGCAATAGAAAGATCTCTTTATACCACATTTCTGAAGTTGTTCTCTTGAAACCAAAGTCAAAGAACACCGTCACCATATATGGTTTTAACATCCAAATAATTTGGTTATGGCAGAACACATCATAGGCCATTGTATCTTAAAAAATCCAAATTAATGGACAGGATCATCAGGGAAGTGACAGGGATCTTACTCAAATCCCACAACAGTCATCATTTTCAAAATTTAAAAAAAGTCAGTTTCCATAAATTAGCACTGAATGTGGCCAGTCTTGAACCAGAAACCTTAGTCACAACTGGCCTGTATCTTGGTCATATACCACAATGCACTAAAATACTTACTGGCATGATCTCAGCCAAGTCGTCCACAGTCGGTGTCTTGACAGAACCGACGTCTGAAGTGTCCACGTCAGGCACGACAGGTGGAGACAGGAGCTTCCGGTAGCAGATAGAAGGGAAGTGCAGGTCGAGAATAATGGAGTTGTAGACAGCCAATCCCATGAGCACTCCGATGAGATTGTACTCACGCAGGTTTCCCTCCTGGTCGGTACTGAACCAGTAGCAACGAGAGTTGGGATGGTAGACAAACATACCGTAGTCTGGGTGGAAGATCTGCCGGATGAGTAGCAGGAACCACTCTTTGGTTAACCCTCCCATATCTAGCCCTGGTTCCCCTACAAATGATACCTTCAGCTTTTTTTTGAGATCTTTCTGCTTGCTTGCAATCTGAAATAAATAATGGTGAAATGTTACAAGAACATACTTTCATGATACAGAGAGAGTAAGTGGAACATAAACAATTACAGCCATTGTGTAAAGTATGTTGTGTCTGGAAACTGTTCTTTAGGAACAGAGGTCAAAGTAGGTATCAGTACAGTTACCATTATCATACTGTCAACGAAACTTATAAAGCAGCGTTTCTCAACCTACCATTGGTGGTACGCAAGCCAATGTTGAGTGGTACGTGAACTAAATAAGAAAACCAAAAGATAATATTAACATAAATAAGTTTTCCCTGAATGCATTGGCTTAGTGGTACATTTAAAGTGTTAAATTAGATGGGAGACCAAGTCTACTTGTATTTTATGCGCTGTATGGCCTTTAAAGGTTAATGAGTTGTGTGATAACATATTTTACTTTCTTTCACATTGTAGTCACATCCTTTACATTTGAATGAATGAATGAATTAATTAATTTTTGTACCTGTTTAAAGACAGCCTATACACTGCAAGATTATGCAACATCAACTGAGATGAGATTATAATATTGTAGTATGAATTGGAAAGGCTTAGGGGAAAGCAGTTATGACACATTTCAGAGTACTATCCTGGCATCAGCTGGAAGGCACTGAGGAAAATGATGAAAAACTTAATTTTGTACACCATCACTGCTTGTCTAACCTGCTTTGTCCTTTGGTAATCAAATGTAATTCTACTATGGATGATGTGACTGCTATGTCAAAGTCATGTTTGACAAGAAGTAAACACAGTTTATAGTCAAGAATATTTATAAACACAACGGTCCGCAGTGGCCGTGCGGTCTGAGGCGTGGGCCTTCTGCCACTTAGTCGCTGGGACCGTGGGTTCAAATCCCACTCAAGCCATGGATGTCTGTGTTGTGCTGTCCTGTGTACAGGTAGAGGTCTTGCGACGGGCCGATCCCTCGTCCAAGGAGCCTTACCGAATGTCTATAGAGCGAGCCAACGAAATGTTGGGACCCGCAGTGCTCAGGCACTTGAAGAACGGGGCGTCCAAGTATCCCAGTACAGCACTATTCACTCACCTCATTGAGTGAGTCTGAAACGAGGTGGGAGCGCCTGACATGAATGTTGAGGAAGAAAATATCAATCTGTGGGGCTTGGTGGCGGGCAACTTTGGCTACCAGTGAACGCCGTGCTGTGAGAATCATTTGCTGCTCTGAATCCTGCAACAGAAATAATAACTTACTTAATTACTCTGTATCAACTACAAAGGTTTTATAGTATTGAATTAGAGGAATACATAGTTATGTGCTGTGAGGTAGAATGGGTCGTGGCGTGCTTTAAGATAGTGTTCTGCATTGTATGGAAGTGCTGAGGAAAACCATTAAATTATTCTGTCAGAACAGCTTATGCCCTGACTGCGACTCACCACCCACTTCTGTACAAGAATTTTTTTTACGTTTTCTGTAGGTTTTCTGAAATATTATAATTCATAATTTTATGCAAAGAAGTACATTTAACACTTTAGAAAGAAGTTTTTTCTTCAGATTGTATCTTGTTTTCAGGAAGTAAAATCACCCTATAAATATGTGCTTCTTTATTTCTTTATATTTCACTGTCCTAATAATTTCAAACTTAATTTTATTTTTATCTGGATTTATTTCTTTATCGTATTCAAATGATACATCATATCCAAGTTAATTAAAATGATAAACTTGTTCTAAAGTCTGTTTAGGGACAAGCTTTAGTGAGATAAAATATTTCCCTTGGAATGCCATGACCTTAGTTTTTATCTCGGATATTTTAAAATTTCTACAAGATCCTCGTAACATTGTCTTCCCAGTTTTAGAACCAATCATTCCTGTATTAATTTAATGTGTTGCGAACCTTTGTGAGGATTATTCTCTTGGCCACTATGCTTAATATAAAGGGGTACTGGCAATAGGAGAACTGTCCAGGTCGCTGAGGACTCTGCCAGTTAAAATAATCCTGCATCAGATCCATGTGGTCTAGGGCAGAATTGTAGAACTCCGTGTAGTCGAGAAGCGGCGGTGTGCTCGAATTATTTGCAGCATCTGAACAAAAAGAAAGCTTCAGGTATATTTCATTGTTATTATTAGGTCTTTGGATGAAATGAATAATATTAATACATTGTGGGGAGGTTATATGTTTTTCAGTCTGTGTGTAGGCGCTTGGGGGGAGAGGCGATATAGCTCCTACTTATTCTTAACCTCGGCACTAGATGGGGGTGAGTGGTTAGCATTGGATAGGAGGCTGAGCTGGGTAGACCCCAGATCTGGTCTGGACGCAGAGGCTGGAGGAAGAATCCTCTGCTTCCGCCAGGGATCGAACCCCAGTCGTCCAGTCCATAGACAGTCACTATACTGACTGAGCTACGCCAGCTCATATTGATTAGTATATATATCAGTGATTACACTGTTAAACTAATCTGATGTCATTGTCGCACATGTTTCAACAGTAAACTCAGCTCCCATTGTTGTGCAAGGGGTTTCAACAATAGGACCATGGTCACCATTAACTGCACAATTGCTCTGGTCATAGTGAAAAGTGGCGAGACACACACATGGATGAGCCCTTAAGGTGTTCTTCTGTTGGAATGTAAAGAACATGTAACTTTAATTGGAAAGTATTTGGAGGGAAACAGTCGTGGCTTAATTTAAGGTAATTCCCCGTCATTTGCACCGAAGTAATGACGAAAATTTCAGCATAGCCGGTCTCCAGGCCAAGATTTTAACGCAGGACCTCCTAAATGTAAAGCAGAAGTGCCAGCCGCTTTGCCATAATTTTCGGGATGAAATATAATCCCAATGGCTGATTCATTAAACCAATATTATGATGGACAGTGTAGAATTCATTTTGTTACCTGAGAGTCGATGCTGTCATTAAAGGACGAGAAAGTGGAATGGGATATTGAGAGACTCTACATTTGTCATGGAGAAGATAGAATGATTTTTCTGACTCTTAATGTTACCAGGCAATGCCTGCTCATCCTGGCAAAGATAAGATGTTGGGAAGTGTTCTATTCTATCTAGGCAGCAGCAGTTCGTTTCAATTATTATTGCAGTTGTTTTTGTTGTTAATTTATTAGTTTCAAGTTTTATAGAAGAATTTGAGTACCATATTTGCTGTAGTGGGGTGTGATATTTACATGTGGATGACTACGTAATAATGATGGTATAACTTTGTACTTTGTTTCTGAGAACAATTGTAGTTACAAGATGACCAGAATACTCACTGATGAGGGCCAAGGTCTTGGTACCAGTGGGTATCCACCAACGACTCTTACTCATGGGTGGCAGCGACTTGTCTGCAGGAGGAAACTGCCTGATTGTGATGAATTGCATCACGTGACGTACAATCATACGTAGCTTCTCCACTTCCAGTCTAAGATACAAAACAAATTTATATTTTCACACTGGAAATTGAAAATATTTTATTAATCCTTGGCACAGGCTGAGAAGTAAAATACATCATTCTTGTGATTTTGAGTTGCAAACAAAACATTAACCCTGTTTTAAAATGTGTAAGTTTTTATTAGGATATTTAAAGCGTGCATGGATGGGACAAGAGGTGTACACTGGGTATTGGTCAGGAAGCCTGGGGGGAAGAGACCGCTGGGGAGACCTAGACGTAGATGGGAGGATAATCTCAGGCGGGATATATGGGAGATAGGAGTTGAAGGAGACTGGATTTTGTTGGCCCAGGACAGGGTCCGGTTGAGGGCTTTGGTTAATTCGGTGATGGATCTTCGGGTTCGGTAAGCCATCTAATTAGTTAGAATAAATAGTTTCCACACATAATCTTTTAAACTTCGCATTCTGAATGCTCCTAGCTGAAACAGAAAACTATAGTAGATGAAGATGGCTATCTCCTGGGATGTAGTGTCACATCGTCTGCTAAGATTTCTACCGACATTTCAAAGGTACTTCTTACCTCCGTCATCAGGGCGATAAGTACTCATGAAACGTCAGAAACTACTAGACTACATGGCGCAATAATGCAGAACACAGTCATCTCAATAAATAATGTATTTTATGGCAGTAATATCGAATATTAACAATGAACGAAAGGTCTTTGGATATGTCTCAGAATCGTCGTGGACTTGTAAGCAAGAATAATTTGGCCCCAACAGAAAAATGAACACCGTCCATCCGTCACCTTACTAAATCAGCTGCCAGGCTTTATAATTATGTAATTATTTTTCAGCTGCCACTTTTAAGAATGTGAAGAATTAATTCTGAAATCGCAAATCATTTAACTCGTGGGACGAGGAATCTGGATAAAACAGCGCATAAAAACGCAGGCATACGTGATAATGATCTTTGTCGGGAGTTGCCTGTGACGTGCATTCCCAGCATCTGTATTGAAATTCTGGGGGAACGAAATGGATTTCGAAAGTGAATCTAAGAATCACATCTTAAGTATGCATCACTGTGGACAAGATTAGGTTACTAATGACTTTCAGCGCACGATTCTGCTGTGTTGATTTTCCAGCCTGTACAAGTTCTGTCCGTTTCTTATTGCTTTCTAATTTTAGAACATTATTATTATTTTTTCTGTTAATGACGTTGCTATGACGTCCTAGGCGACGGATCGTTGATATTGCGACACGCAACGCACTCGTCGGTATGATGCTCGTGATTGCGTCATCATGTTGCGTGCTGTCGTAGTGACTTCATTCCGTTAGCACTGCTTGTCTTCCATCCGCTCCCGAGTCGTCGTCATACGACACGAAAACTTACCACCCCCGACCCCCATATATTAATCTTTATATTTTTAGATAGGGCACAAAAATACAAAATGCACAATAGCAAGATTTCTTCAGCTACAGTCTGCTCTTTGTTTCTTGGTAAATACAATTCTGATTTGTGATTCTGATTATTGAATATTTGAATTCTGTGCAATGTTCGAAGAGTTTGTTAGCTTTCGGATTCTCACGGCAGCTTGTATGAAGATGACCGTCTTCTGGGTTGTCTGTGGTGCAGCAAGGCAGAAGACAGTCGTCTTAGATCTGTCATCTGTTATTTATATTGTAGTTCGCACTGAACTGTGGTGACAGGCAACAATATACGAGGTCTGTTCAAAATGTATCGGACCTTAATTTTTCCCACGGAAATAAATGAAGCACGGGAAGTGTCCTCCGCGGGGGGGGGGGGGGGGACCTTCATGCGCATTCGTGAATATTTTCCCGCCCGCAGAGAGCGTCAGTCGCTGGCAATTTTGATCCACTTTACTTTCGATGTACTTTTTATAAACAGTACCTCATTCCGGTTGTCCCACTTCGACAACAGGAAAAGAAAACATGACAGCAAAAAATATAAATTTACTCCTGTTTTTGATGCCGGTAGATGATAAATCTGCAGTCGGTCATGTAAAATGTATAGTGTCTGATCAGACGATAAACACCGCTACAGTTTCTGTACTAAATATATTCTGCGTTTTGAAATGCATCGTGACTGATAGTAGGAGATCATTTAATGATAGTATAATGATTTATACCGTGAGTTCAAAATATTCTCATGGCCACAACTCCTGCGCTGTGGGGTACGAGTTTCTCTGAGAAACGAGAAAAAAGTCAATTTAAAAAAATGAAACGGGCGTATACACAATATGAGATCCAGCTTTAAAATAGGCATAATAGGTGTTAAGTAAGAAATTAAGTACAGAGGTGCGTGAAGAATCATCTGCTTTTCCGCCTCTGCAAATGTTTGTACATTGTGGCTGTGATACGTGTTTCTTAAGTGAAGATGTTTTTTCGACGATAAACCTAGTACAAATTTTGTAGTTATTTTAAAGGCACTATGTAAGATGTTATCAGGAAGGAGACTGTCCTGCGTTATCCGTTGGACTGTGGGGTGTCCGCTCACATAAGGAAACCTTTAAGTTTGGAAGAAGTCAGATATGAAAGGTGAGATTTGAAACTATTTAGAATCGCAGAATTTTCAAATAGAAATTAGGTTAGGTTAATTTTGTGAATGAATTAAAGGATTGGTATTCTACTCGTAACACAATTTTTAGTCTTTTACTACACTGAAGCAGTGGCGCTATTCGACTGCTATCTGTACGAGAATATTGACGCAATGGAGTTCTGATCATTTCACGTGCGCTGTGACTTTTCATTTTGTTTCATATGTTCTGTGCTCAGTGCTAAGAAACACATGACCCGACTTGTTTTCGTATGTAATAACCTCTTTTGATTCAAGTGAACTTGAATGATGTGCTTAGGATAGAGAAACAAGTACAGTGAGGAGATGCAGAAAAAGTATGTGAACCCATTTCTGATATCCTGTCACAATTATGTTCCTTTATGAAGCAGAATACCGAGGCTTTATTTTGACCGAATTATCACGTAAGGTATTAAGTTTGTACTCGCGGAAATGTGTACTAAATCCTGCAGTTATTAAACGAAGTTTGAAGTTCGCCGGAAGACTGTAGGTTTGTTTGCACGCCAGTCTGGAACATCGCGTCTGGTCGTGCATACGTAGACCTGGGGACGGACATGTTCAGTACCTTATGTGATTGAGGTGTGTACCCACAACATATAAACTTCAGTGCATAAAACAGCAGTTTTATTGCTGTTAAGTCTGGTGCTTTAACGATCCTATACTTTCATCTGTTCATTATACTAAAATATTGTACTGCTGGTATAAATAGAAGAACTAATTGCTTGGTGCTGTTACAAATAAATAATTAAGTACTTATGAAGGTGCGAAGGCTGTATGTAGATTATAGTTATAATTTTTTCGATACGTGCACGTGAAAATCCCACCGCGCAACATAAATGCGTGACATGGCATATACTATGAACATACACGCAGTTTTAATGCTAATGTCCTGACGTTACGGTGAGACAGAAATAGATTTAAGTAACACCTACATTTTCTGAACAATAATGTGGGTCATACAGAAATAAAACCAATTGCATAAGAACAGTTTCTTCCTACTGATCAACATTGGCTTTGTCTCAGTCATAAAAATAAAATTATTTCTGTGTTGTTACGATATTAATTTGGAGACGACATATTTGAATAATTTTTCGTTTTTATTGCCACACTTGTCGCTTATAAAAGATACCAAATTATTTTGTTCCAAAAGATTGTAAACTATTTAAGAACATTCTTGTTTATTTCTGACCGTCACTGTCACACACTCAGTTCACAATCTGTTTCCTTGAACTAAATGTTTCAGATTATCTTTTTTTTTGATTCTCTGGATGCCACAAAAAATGATCGAATTATAGGTTAGAAACGTTTTTTGACATTTTAATCTGTTTTGATTAATCTGATACAAAACAAAAAATCGGAGTGAAAAAAGGAACATTAGAGGTTATGGGACTTACTGCTTGAACCAGTTGACGAGCAGATGATGGTCGGTGCTAGACTGGTTCACTATTTGGCGTAGCAGGTGCGCGAAAATCGTGTACGAGGACTGAGCAGCGAACACCGGGTTCTGCACTAGCACAAACAGGGCCCGCACATCGTCCTTGTCGTACAGCCTAACCAACAGATTTCAAGAAATGTGCAGTTCATAACCTCCAAATTAATTTTTTAACATGCTGACTCATTAGCTACAAGAGAAAATTACAGAGTAAGCAAAAGGAGATAAAATATATACTTAGTATGGAAAACAGAAAAAAGATTAAAATTAAGCTAAATGCATACAATAATTTAAACACCTTCTAGAATCGAGATGTCCTCAAAAGATAGCACGTTTCGGCCAAAAATATGCACATACCATTTACAACAGTGGCGAACCTGGCTGAAGGACTGTCTTAATGCACTGCTCACACTAAAAGTAGACAATTATCTTATTTGCCTTTTAGACACATGAATACCAATAATGTCCATAATGGAATGACAGTCAATTTTGTCCTTGGAAACACTGATAAGAAATAAAGTGCCAAGATGCCTTCGTCTGGAAAGTGTTATAAAACTTAAATTACTTCGAATAAGTCATTATTACGTAAAGTATCATAAAAAATAACACATTTTGTCAAATTTTCATTGTGTATTTTCTAGTTTATTAGACACAGTCCACGTAATCTTATTCCATACGACAGAGGCATGCTCTAGCTTAGACCTGATTATAGCAATATACAAAACAATTAGACTGTCTAAGGAAACGAGAAATTACGAGCAATAAAACGAAAAAACCCTTCCCTGGTGCTTGAAGATAAACGTCAGCATGACAATGAAAATGCAGTTTACTATATGACGTAACAACTCGAACTTTAGGTATTCAGCACGCAAAATTAAAATATTTTTGACCAAATATTTAAATGTATTCAGTCTTACATCCAAATGATATAATTGTTGTTTTCAGATTGTCGAGTTCCATAACGTTTTCCGCTGTTACACTACGTCACCTATAAGAGCTTTACAATCTTTAGCAAAATTTGTTTCCATAAATTATCAGATAATCGGCACATAAGATAAATTTGGAATGATTAATTTTAGCAGAATTATCGTTGATAAAAGATGGAAAACAAAAGAGGTTTTCATATACGCGTTTGTTCGTAGTCTGAAACCTGTCAGCATTATTCCGTCAAGAATTACTGATAATATCGCTTGTCAGTGCACGCACTTCAACTGTCTGGTAGGGGCGGACGGTGTTCAGAAATTTTGCTGTCATAAGTAATGAAATGTTTCAAACTGAACAGAACTAGGACTTACATTCTGTTTTCCTCGAGAAGTGCATTGATGATAGATTTCAGCACAGTCTTGTGGATTATGGAGGGCTGGAACAGAGTAGTTAGAACATGGAAATGAAAAATCCTGTAACATGGTCTGCGCGACACTGTTTTTATTAGACAAATGATGCGAGTATATATATTAGAATTTTCTTATATCTTTCCAAGAAACATCATCCTAACTATTAAAATTGTACTGCTTGTATTTTTAACTGTAACGGCCGGTAATTCTATTTTAGAGAAATAACCCAATAAGAGTCTGTCTACTTGTACTCATGTTTCCCCTTGCAAGTGAAATTTCTTAACAGCAACAATTGGTGTTTTCTGAAGCCAGAACTCATCGTAATCTTCCATATGAACATAACGCATAATTAAATCAAATTTAGTTCAGCATTTTACCCCCCTAAGCAAATTGGATTTTTGCTATTATTCCTGCAAATTGGAAAGATTTTTGAGGAAGTTCACACAATCTTTTCTATATCCACAGAAGAAATATTTTAGTTGACACCATGACTTGGATTATGGTTGTATATAATTTTCCACAAAGGATGAAAGGACCCTTTTTGTTCATATAAATAAATTCACTATCAGCTGATCACAAACTAATTTGAATCATTGTTGGAAAAAAGATATTTTCCTGCGTTTCGTTTACCAGTAACATTGCCACTACACTTACTCTGCAGGAAAAATATGTCAATGTCTGTCTGTTCCTTGGATGTCATATTAACTCACCATTTCCCTCAGCGTGTCGTGAACTGCGTACAGAAACTCCATGTTTAGGCCTGGCTCTTCTAACTTCGCTCCTTCCTCGTCCTTGTTCATCTGAATTAGAACGGGGAAGTTTAGTTTTACTGATTTGGTCAAAGTATAGACAGAATGGCGCATAATTAAATCACCTGTAGGAAAGCAGGAATATTTTATGCGCTTTTCACGTTCTCTTGCCTGTAATTCTTGTACAACTTAAATAATTTACGGAAAAAAGCAAGTCCTGCGTTAAGATTCGCTGTAGCCTTTCGGGTTTTAAAATGTCTGCGAAATTCTCTCTGCGTCAAAGAAATTGAGCAATTGTTTTGTAAAATAATTCAAAAATTTCTGCACGCTGCTGGACTATACAACTGTTTGTAGCAATTTCCCTCGCCTCTACTTTATTTCTGTAAAATAAAACTAACAAATAAAACATTAAGTTATTTAAAATGGATCGATTAATTATGTGCCACCTTCTAAATTTACAGGAGCGTGTAACTCATGCCCCAAGGTTGAGTTATTTCAGAACAGGCTGATGAAGAGAATTTTTGTACTAGAGAGTAAACGTCCGGTTAGCAATGTAGGACCAGACAACTAGTTAATAGGGAATGTCCCAAAAAGATATATACACACTATAATACGGGATATTAACCTTGCTAGGCTGTAAAGGGATAATGAAGCAGAACAATTATATTAATTTCTAGTTGCACTACATCGGAAGGGAAATATTATCGACTTTCGATTGAACTGTATACAACACAAGAAAATGTAAAAATGCTAGAGAAAAAAGGTGTGGCGGTTTTAGCTTGATACCGTAATGAGTGGATGACACGGAAGATAATCTCGAAGTTAAACGTAGCAAACGTCATTTGTGTATAGAGACCAGAGGTATATTAATTCGATAATCCATTTGGGAAAGTGTGACTGATAGAGGAAGTTGTGTTCCGTTGTATCGATATAAAGCGAATTTCTGGTTCCGGTTCCTTTCAACGATATTTGAAGAGCAGTGAATCGAGATTTTGCTGCTGTGTGGTCGTGTGAAGTGTTAATTTATAATTGTTTCAGTGATAGGTGTCGATACACGTAAAATATCCGTGAATATTGTGCTTCATGTTATTGTATCATAATACTAGGAACAACTGTGATAAAGTTAACCAGTCTTGTATTGCTGAAGATCGTGAGATAACCTAACATTAAAGAATTGACAAAGGCGCCATGTTGTAATTCATGTCCATTGGCACACGAGTCAGGTAAGCTTTATTTGCAATGGTGATTTGTTGGAAGGTATATTATTTAATGTCGAATTATATGAGAGAATAGTTTTTTTCGTTTATTTAACAGCGCTGACTCAAATATCCAGATTACTTGCCGTCGAATGTGAACGTAGAGTGAGATAATAATTATTAAACTGGGTAGAAGCGATGATAGTTAATACAAAGATCGGGATTCTAGTAGAGGTTCAGTGGAAAACTACGGGAATCGTATTCAGAATAGTAGGATATACGATGGAAATTTTAATTGGAATCAATTGAATGTGAATCAGAAACGCTTTCTGTTACGCATCTTTGGGTATGGTTATGGATGTTTACGTAAGGTGAGTTGAATAAATGGGTTGTTCCTTTTAAGGTTTGGTGATGCCGAGAACGCCTTTACTCAGAATCGTCTGCTAATGCATGATGACGTCAGCGTCGATTAAGTTTATTTCCGGTACCGTTGTGCGCTTATAAGTGAAGAATGGCTAGACCGATTTTTATGGAATTTGTTTTGGTAATTACGTCGCGTCAGGCTAATCAAAACATTGCTCTCGAGTTTATGAATCTTTGTACACCTACAAGTTGTGATACTCTTCTGCGCGCGATGCAATAGCTGGATTTTTATTAATTTTGTCATGGACGTAATGCCATATGTGAGTATTCCAAAGTAAAATATTTTTAAATTTCCTACACTGCAATAAAAACGTGACGGATTCTTGAAGTCATGAGATGGAATGTTGATGACGGCGTAGGGAATCTAATATAACCCAATCCAAGCCCGTTACAAGTGATATCCGTTGATAGGATGTGTAGACATAAATTAATTAAATTTGGAATGGACGTTGCGTAAATGATTACTTTTCACATTCCTACGCACGGTAATATCCACGCTTCTGCTATTTGGAAATTTATAGCATTGCAATTCAGATACATGAATAAATCCTCAGAAATACTGAGCATCGCTTCTGTCTGTATTTTCTTTCCATCTTGAAAATGTAAATGCATTTTCACTGCAAGTAACAATCCATTCCTTCGATATGTAAGGACGGCAATGTGTATCCTTCAGACACAAATTACACATAATTTACCACTAACCTGTGTATATTTCTATATACTTCCACCAAAGTGAAGTATATAAATCGATGGAGCACATTCTGGCGACAAGTTGTAATCGCCAATCAAAACATATTACTTTAACCCTCATCATTCCTCGAAACAAATGTGGACTATACACAATTGACTTAATACACATTTATAAAGAAACACATATATAGCATCACGCCTATTCCTTTAATATTGCTCACTTTTGTTTAGATTACGAAAGGTTGACCAATTTCCTGTACATAAAACACGAATGTCTCATCAGCATGAAAAGTTTTTACACCAACCTAGTAATAAATTACATAAATTTCAACATACACGTGGTATTTATATCGTGTAATTAAGAAATTGAATCAGGAACGAACGCACCTAAAATTTAACAAAGCCATTGGTAAAAATACACTTTTCATATCTGATAGACGGAGGAGTGAAACACCAGAAATGAAAATTTAAGACGTGTATTTGTACAGGTGTTTTGACCGTGTACATGATAATGAAATACGCAGTTAATTAAGAATGTTTAATATGAAGGAAGTAATCCAAATCAAGATACACGGAGACTTACGCTTTTGGGGACAATTCGTCCCAGGATCGCGATATCGCCGTACTGTGTATAAAACGCGATACTTCGTGCATATCCTTAGCCAGTTCATCACTGTCGAAGAGATCCTTGTCAGGTTGACATGGAATCACTTTCACCAGAATCATAATATACGTACATCACACAATGGATATCGTCCGAGAGCATCTAACTTCAGCAGACCTCCCATAAAACCACTCCGTTTCAAAAATGAACACTGTCAGTACCGCATTCTTTGCGTACGAGGAAAAATTTCGCCTACTAGTTGAAGGTGCCGCCATGGCGTCTGGTGTCTTCGCAACCCCTTTTACTAGCAAAAATATTTATGACAAAATTTCGAGGAGGAAGACATCGTTTCTAGTCTGTATTAAACAAAATGCTGGCATATATATGTGGACCATGTATTTGGAATTTGACCACACCTACCACCCTCTCTTAGAGCGTGCGTCTGATATCTGAACTTAAGGTACCCAGGCATCAAGTTATTACTGAAAATTAGAAGGACGTTTTGGTTAACTGACGCCCCGACAACTCCCTTGGAAACGCTATCTACAGCAAACGAACCCACACACGTAGAGGCAACATTACGTAACCCATAGGTTCACAAGAGTTTTGTCATAAGTATCTTGATAGAGTAAAAGCAATTTGTGACGACCTACTAACATAAGGGTGGAGTCTCCCACGAGCTCAATACGCCATCTCTTGCTTCTTTAAACCATCTCTGCGTACGAAATCCATAACGGAAAACAGTGCCTTATAAACTACAATTTGATATGTGCTCACGCTAACAGAATTGTTGTCTTGGCTGAAAGCTTTTACGTGTTCATACTAGGGGCTGTTGCTACTGGTGGAAGAATTATCACATCGGGTAATTTGTCCTTTGCGGAAAGAACTTTGGTTTGGTGGTTAAGCTTGGAGAGGTTTGGATTGCTTTGCATATGCGGCTTGGTGGGATAGTTTTTGGTTGAAGGCCTCCGTGACTTGGATAGACGGACCTTGGAATATGTCGGACAACTAAGAAAAAACACGAGAAACATCAGAGTAGCCGAAGTGTTAGACCCCAATCGTTGCGTCGAATTGGCCGCCTTGTTAAAGGACAGAGAGGTTGGCCTGATGAGCACAAACCCTCCTCGATTAAATGTGGGTGATATAAGACAGCCCTTGGTTAGCACAAGTACTTTTAAGTCGAAATTATCAGGGAGTGATTTCACCAAAGCAACTAGAAATACGTAACACTAGAAAAATAAAATCATAATGGTATAAGCGTGGTGCAGGCAACATTAACGTAAGTGAATGTAAAGTGCGTCTAATAAGCAACAACTTACCTATCGGCTCCATGTTTCCACTAGAATAAACATCTACTGCATAGCACTCTGCTAGATTACTTTGTGACTTTCCGGTAAATCCCGCTAATGCCAGGAAGTTGTTTCTGATGCGTGACGTCCAGGGTACAAAGCGTGGGATGGATGTAGTTTCTGAATGTTTATTATCGCCTAGTGTGTAATGTGACACTCTGAAGAGACTTGCCAGAATGTTTTAAATAAGTTTCTGATTTGGTAAAGGAAAAACACGAGAAAAGATTTCGTGGATATTTCAGAAGGGTATGTTGGCAATAATATCGTGGCCTCAACTCATTCACCAAAAATTCTACCTTTTATTATATTTTTCTTCCCCTTTGGAATTTTTATTTAATATATAGTCTGTAATCAAACTGTGTGTTAACATAAAAGAACTGCTTTTCCCACTTTTCAAAATGGGTCGTGTTCCATATTTGACTTCGGGCTCCGTTGTAAGATATTTAGTTAATATTAATGGCCTCCCCGCCACTCAATTTATGCAGAATGAATATCAATGTACACTGACCTTAAAAAGTGCACAAATTTCGGCAAAGGTGTTGAAGCAGCGCATGTAGAATCGCTGTAAGGACGTGTAGTTTTCTGTCTGTTGCGCCCGGCGGACATCTTGTCTGGAAAACAAGATAGAACGTCACAATCTATAATAATAATATGAAAAACTGTATATTATTTCCAAATTATGTTATTAATATAAGGAATAATGTATATATTTGTTACAATTTTAGGAACTTCGTCACTGGAAAGAAACTTATATCGTTACATTCTAACTCCATTTCGAAAATCTAATAATTGCTTAGGTCGTGAAATTATCTTTCCTTTACTGGTGCTGGATGTTCATTAACGTCTTCATAAAATTACGCCACTCCACCTTACTCTTCGCCAGGTGAATCTGACACTAATTCTTACGCCGTTATTCTAGCATCCACTTTAATATTATCCTTACATCTATGGCCGGCTTTTAGAAAATGCGATTTATTATATTATTTATTTGAGTTACCTATTTCGGATTACATTCTTTGTCCAGTCACGTGACGACGTTAATGCCTAGTGAATAAGTCCTTATTTTTGGTACAGAACATACTTAATTAGCAACTTCACGTGCCCCTCAGCAGTATAATTATCCGAAACAAATGATAGTCGTTCTACTCATGTTACTTAAAAGAGCTGCATTTGAGGATGTTTGAGAACAAGGTTCTACAAGAACGTTTAGGCTAACAGAGATGAAGTAAGAGGAAAATGGACAAAATTTGGCTACATAATGAGGGGTTTTATAATTTTTACTCTTTACCAGATATCATTACTATGTTTAAGTCGACGTCTTTGACATGGGCGAAACATGTAGCATGAATATGAGATGCTGCATTAACCCAAATAACGATAAAACCTAGAGGCATGTTATTTTGCTTATGTTTCATTTGACGCATAGTTTAAAAAGTTCAATATTTTAAATGGTCTTTCGCGTTGTTGTGTAAAAAACGACAGTATACACGTAGCTTGACAGGGAAGCGATATATTTTGTGTTTGTAAAGGGAGGTTATGTTATGAAACATGCGCAGTTGGGATAGCGTTAGCCCTGCCAGTAATGTGTATACACTTTTACAGCCGTTGCCATGCCTACGCAAACAAAACACTTACCTTACACGACATGCAAAGACTTCTATGTATGTCAGCTCAGTCGAACTAGACGTAAAAATACCATTGCACAAAACATTTAGACAAGCCAACTGTGATCACTTTGTTAAATACATAAGGAATATATGAATAGTTAAAAAGAACTTCTGTAACAAAAATAAAACCAATTGGCCGTGAAACACATGTCAAGTGTTAGTGATTGATGTCTCGTACACGTCAGTTGTAAACAATAATTAATTAATAAGATAATACAAGATTTATTTACTACGACAAATGAAAGATGTCGGTTGTGATAATTAGCAGCTTAGATTGAAGTGTGCAGCTTTAAGAGAGAGTTTAAAAAATCTACATATTACGAGAAAATTTAAAATTATAAATGTAGTTTGATGATATATCAAATGATCAGATAAACTGGAGATAATCAGAGAGAGAGAACGATACAGAAAATTATCCATAAAATTGCCTGCTCCCGAGACACAGAGACAAAGGAAGACTTATTAGGAGTAGAGTAAAAGGCAATTTTAATTTCTGAAGCGCAAACGAACTTGACATTTTTTCTTAATTTATCTCCCCCAGATGCCATAACTGACAGTTTATATGGGAACAACGAATATATACAGCCACTAACACCACATTTCTCAATTTATCATAGTACCAACATGGCGACAATGCGAACCTATGAGTTGGCCGCATTAACTACACCTAATATTTGTTCCTCATACCTGGTGTGGCAATATATGTACTTTTTCCAGGATAATGTTTTATAAAACTTAAAATAACATGGCGTCTAGGCAAATTCGACAAATATCATTCAGTCTGTTGACGATAAAGAGTGAACCACTGGAATTTAAAATGTCGAATGAATATTGACAAAAATAATTACAAATTCTACGTGATATATTGTTAACTGCGAATAATTGTAAATTTAGCGACAGAGCGAAACTTTGAGGTTATATTTGATAAATATGCTATAACGCAGTGGAAATATGTAGTGGTGGAAATTATGGAAATGTATGGATCACTATGCAGTGCAGTTATTAAGTATTAGTTGCTAACAGAATATTAATATGTAATTAAATATTTCTTTACTTTAAATGTTGTTTTTTTTATTAATTTTTGGATAGACCAGAATTGTTACAACAGTTGTGTGAACTTCTAATTTATTAACCTGGCAACCGTTTAGATGGACTTTTGTCTTTCATGCTGTTTCGCAGGGCAGGTGACAGGACTTCATATTTCCAGATAAATGTCCTCAGAAAAGCCTGGCATTCTCCATTTTTCATGCGAACTGTTTACGTGTCAGGGTTCATTGTTGTTAACACTCCAAATGTCGTTGCCTAGGCAACGCCAAGCTTGTTCGATAATCCGGTAGTTATCAAACGCTGAGATGCGTATTTCATTCGGACAGTAAATGCAGACGGTAGCTTTTGTTGGAGATGATATATTTGACACGTTAACATAATGGAATAGGACAAACTCGGAACAAAAAGTAGCATTAACGGCGCACTCAGAAAATCCGTGGAACTCGAAGTGCAATGAATAATTTCCTCACGAAGTTGAACTTTGTGTTTAGGCGGCATTATTTATGAAGTGTGCAGCTTTAAGAGAGAGTTTAAAAAATCTACATATTACGAGAAAATTTAAAATTATAAATGTAGTTTGATGATATATCAAATGATCAGATAAACTGGAGATAATCAGAGAGAGAGAACGATACAGAAAATTATCCATAAAATTGCCTGCTCCCGAGACACAGAGACAAAGGAAGACTTATTAGGAGTAGAGTAAAAGGCAATTTTAATTTCTGAAGCGCAAACGAACTTGACATTTTTTCTTAATTTATCTCCCCCAGATGCCATAACTGACAGTTTATATGGGAACAACGAATATATACAGCCACTAACACCACATTTCTCAATTTATCATAGTACCAACATGGCGACAATGCGAACCTATGAGTTGGCCGCATTAACTACACCTAATATTTGTTCCTCATACCTGGTGTGGCAATATATGTACTTTTTCCAGGATAATGTTTTATAAAACTTAAAATAACATGGCGTCTAGGCAAATTCGACAAATATCATTCAGTCTGTTGACGATAAAGAGTGAACCACTGGAATTTAAAATGTCGAATGAATATTGACAAAAATAATTACAAATTCTACGTGATATATTGTTAACTGCGAATAATTGTAAATTTAGCGACAGAGCGAAACTTTGAGGTTATATTTGATAAATATGCTATAACGCAGTGGAAATATGTAGTGGTGGAAATTATGGAAATGTATGGATCACTATGCAGTGCAGTTATTAAGTATTAGTTGCTAACAGAATATTAATATGTAATTAAATATTTCTTTACTTTAAATGTTGTTTTTTTTATTAATTTTTGGATAGACCAGAATTGTTACAACAGTTGTGTGAACTTCTAATTTATTAACCTGGCAACCGTTTAGATGGACTTTTGTCTTTCATGCTGTTTCGCAGGGCAGGTGACAGGACTTCATATTTCCAGATAAATGTCCTCAGAAAAGCCTGGCATTCTCCATTTTTCATGCGAACTGTTTACGTGTCAGGGTTCATTGTTGTTAACACTCCAAATGTCGTTGCCTAGGCAACGCCAAGCTTGTTCGATAATCCGGTAGTTATCAAACGCTGAGATGCGTATTTCATTCGGACAGTAAATGCAGACGGTAGCTTTTGTTGGAGATGATATATTTGACACGTTAACATAATGGAATAGGACAAACTCGGAACAAAAAGTAGCATTAACGGCGCACTCAGAAAATCCGTGGAACTCGAAGTGCAATGAATAATTTCCTCACGAAGTTGAACTTTGTGTTTAGGCGGCATTATTTATATTTAAAAGTTTAATAATTATATATATATATATATATTATTTGAATGTAGATTACGCAGTTAGAATACTTGTAACTGTGGGTACAATGTTGTAGTTATTTGTAAATATTAGTTTCTTATGGTTAGTACCTCTGACCACTTAATTTATAGACAATGTTGTCAATTGTACCTACCATTGATTCAAATTAGGTTTTGTAGCTAGTTTAACGGTTAGTTAAGTGGTTTCTCGACATTTCCTGGTTGCTAGGCAGATAAGACAAAAGCAGAGTTTTTTAAGAATCGGCCCATTCGCTTTCTCAAATTACACAGTTTTTATTGCATTGTTTACAACTAAAATTTGTAAGAAAATAAATATTTTTATAAGCCTTACTTGGCTTGGGCCCACTTATATTTGGTTTTTCATTAATATTTTCACACTTTTCATTATCATGTCGTCTTGTAACAATTATGTCTATTTTTAGGGATACTACTTGTCATAATTCTTTTCTTAAGCGGAAATTGTTATCAACAAAGGCACAACTTGAGTAAGAATTAAGGTACACAAAACTTTGCGTACACAAACGCAGATATTTATTATTCCTGACAGATTTTGTCAAGAAACCAGAGTCCTTACGAATTCATTTTCGGCATGGAGTGGGGAGAGATTCCTTCATAGTCATTGTAGTAACACAGTCACCAAAAATAACTGCTACTACCATTTTCACCAATTTATGCCTTCAAGTTTTAGATATGTTTATTGGTGTGATTTAACTGATCATTAAAATAGGCCCGTATTCAATGACGGATAATAACATGGCATTGAGAATCGTCAGATTTTTTAAATTTGCACCGTTAATTTATTCTATTCAAAGCCTTGCGGCACACCGGTTGAGAACCACAGTTCTATCGGTCACACAATTAAATGTAGCAAAAGGGAGAGAGAACAGAAGTCTTACATAAAGTACTTTGTCGCTGGACAAAAAATACAAAATGTCATCAGTTATAAAACGATAGTATCATCTGTGATAATGCTAATTAGATTTTTGTTGAAGATGACAACCTTGTTGGATATTGCGCCGCGTAGTCTCATAAAATTTAACCGATGTTTCGGAGGTGTTCACTGCCTCCATCATCAGGTAGATAAACCTGAAATCTCACTTAGATCTTGCCTACCGGCTACTCGTCCGTCGACTACTCATACGACAGTTTATGTCGGCGTGCGTTTATGCGCGTGTAAGTAACTTGGTGGGAAATTCTAAACCAAACACGCAAATACGCAAGATAATCCCCAGGATTACGTCATTGTCCAGCCATACGGACACCAAACACACCGACTGTGAAAAAGTTATTGACCTCAGAGAACTGTGGAACTCTGGCGACATTAACAGAGGTTCAAGGTCAAATTCTAGCGAACGCACCAAAATTACTACGATATGCGTACACCTTTCCTAACTTGTTCGATGTACTGTATATTGAACGAAACATGCGTTATCGCTTGTAAGGTAGGCTATAGAACTTGAATCGCGCATTGAGGTATATTCAATAGTCTTCACTGTTAAGAATGAACGTTTCTGATGCTGTCTGAGCTCAGTGGGGTCATATTTACACTATAGGGAAGGAACTTCGAATCTCAATGCAGGCAAAGAATGAGAGAAACAGGAAGCTATTTCCTTGCACGAGTGAAGTTCGGAGTTTGGAGCAGCAATTGATTTAAAGGAGTGAGTGACATAGGATCAGCGGTCTCTGACATCTGAAAGACGTATAGAACAATATAAATAATTAATGTACCTCCGCGCCATTAGAACATTCTTCTTGGTTTTATCTAAATGTGTTGAGCTGTGTCGAACATGTAAGTACATGAAAAATGGCCGACTTAGCACGCCAGAAGATACACTGTCCACAGACCAATAATCCTAAAAAAAATTCAGCCTACAGACATTCTGTAGTAATGACAATCAATAAACATTTATGTTCGTCGTTGTCGTCGGCTTTTACGGATTTTACGTGAGTCATCAATATTTGAAAGGCGATGTAACAATACTCCCACACCTCCTCCTGTGGTCCACGTGGTATTTATTGACTCTCTTAACTGTTTTCAAAACACAAAACTCTTAATGGAACTTATTTTACTGTTTTGACACTTGTATTATTTTCATTTATTACTGATCTGTAAACACGACTCCTTACAGAAAAATATTACCAAACTTGTGACCAACAGTTGCGGTTAAAAGCTTTGTTTAGTCGCACACCTCATCAGAAATACCAATACAGTGACAGATTCCATACTGTAATTTTTTTAAAATAAGGAGTATGAAATAAATGTGTCATGGGAGTGTTGAGAAAAGCAAGCAGAAGTTTAATCGGGAAATTTGAGACCACTTCGGCGTTTATAAGGGTTACAATTAAAATTACCGGTTTCTTAAAGAGGATATGAAGATTGCTGTCTGCTGGGTTATAGCGCCTTGTAATCTGGTACGCGGCACTACAACCCAGATGACAGCCATCTTCATATTCACCGCCGTGAGAAACTCTTATCCTTCTGAGAGGAAATGAAAGTGGAGGTTTCTAGTACACACGCATTGCATCCGTGTAGGAGAAGTTGCCGAATAAGCACGGCGCTTTTCGTAGTTCTAAATGTAGTCCTTCAACTCATATTACATTCAAAATGTGCAGAAATTCATGCATGGACAACAGCCAGCAAAGATCGTGTAACATTTAGTAGCACAGCGGTAACACGTGACTCAAACTGAAGGTATCCAGTTCGAATCCCGACCTGATTGTGACAACACTGATAGGAATTTTCATGATTTTACTTAGTCATTACAGGGACATTTCATGATAGAATTTCCTCTTCCAAGTAGTTACGCCTCATTCCTTGCTACATAATCTCTTTAGGTTTCTAGAATCGTTAAATAACTGATAGTTGCTGGGACCTCTAAGTTTTTATCGTACTAGGTCTATATATGACATCGGTCCATGGTTCCTTTGCACCAATCTGCGGAATATTAGCTAGAAGATTATTTTCATAATAATTCGTGTTGTAAAGTTATGTGTTACTAACAGAACCTAATACCGTCTACAGAAAATACAAGGAGGCGGCACACATGGCACTACTTGCCAATCCTATCAGCCAGCCTAGTTTGTATTTATCTCCTATTTGGATACCTGTCATCTCTGAAGAAGTCCAAGTTGTGCATCGAGTTTCAAATTAATGGTCATATGTATTTATTCCCACCTTTTGTGAGTTTTTTGGCTTTATCGTGTTTAATGAAGTTTGATTTCTACTATCTATTCTTTTACGTCCCACTGATGGATGGTGTGGTGTTGTCTTTTTATTCCGGGACTTTCACTTTTTTACTTTACCCGGAGATAGGGAATAGCTCTATCTAGTGGGCCCAACTGAGTAGGAACCTGAAGACGGAGATAGAGCCCCATCTCCGAAACGTCGTTTTATGTTTTATATTTTATTGACTGGACGATGGATAATATCCAAGAAGATATTTATTCAAATGACTCATCACCATCGTCAAGAACTTTTAGATTTGATATATTGTAGTATACTTAAGCTGCCATTCATGAATATTATCAAGTGTTTACATAAAGTATTCCAGCTTTGCGATTAGTAAGAATATGTCTCAAGTTGAGAAGATAGATGACTCAGAAGACATCAGTGTCGAGTGGGTTGTATCACTTGGAAATTTAATGTATCTTAAGTGTTATGAACCACAAACATAATTGTTTCCGAACCGCAGTTCGCTGTCACATTGTGTGTATGTGTATATTATATGATATTTTAGAGTTTTAACTACAGTAAATAATTTCAAAAATATTTCAATATTTGAAACAATACTTAGAATTCATATTTTATGTTAACATCATCCCAATTAAATGTAGGCTATATTATTCCATCACGGATGTTTTACATGACACGTTTTCTGCAACATTTTATGATTGTAGCCTAACTACTAATGCGTTTTAATATTTAAATTATTTTAAATTTTCAGTTATTTATTCTATGAAAATACTAATTACATATGTGATAATTAAATGTGACTTAGTCTCATATCCACTCAAATTTAAAGTTTGATATAAATTTCCCCGTTTCTTCGTTTGTTCATAAAAAGCATCGGAAGTCTTCTACATCTTAACCTGTGCAGGGAACTAATAACTGCGACGAACTGATCCTTCATCTAAGGTCTGTCTTCAGTTTTCAGAAGTTTAAACGAAATTGAAACATCTTCACCATTACCCAAAATTGCAGAGGCCAATCGACGAATAAAAACAATAAAAACAAAAAGAATGGTAGCTTAAATAGGATTTGAATATGCTCACAAGAATTCCTCTCTGGTTTTCCTCCACGTGGGATACTGGGGAATGTCCCTAACTTCTTCTGGCTCCGAACACGTGAGGTTCTCGACACTCAGAACCGACCGAAACCCGGACTCTGGAGTGGATGCCGGACTCAGCGCCAACCCGCAGCTCTTTCCGTCACAATCCTGCACAAAGCAAAAATATACAAGTTATTTCCACCATAGTAGGAGGTCGTAATTTAGTTTTAATTTTGCGTAAAGCTCCTGTAACTAGTGAGGCTACAGATTTACTCCAGACGTACAGGTTTTGACATTTATAAATGCTGAAGCACTACTAACTCAAATTTTGACATATGTAGGGAAGTGAACCTGTAAATGCCAAATAGATTCGCCATTGAAATAAGAAGCACGTTCAAGTGAAAATTACCAGGAAGACCCCGAATTTTAAAAGAGGATGTTGAACACATAAGGAAATCGTGTGTGTGAAGTTCAGTTAGTTAGTATCTTAGTGTGCTCAAGATTGAAAATCTGTTACGGACGCCATTACTAAACTACATTAAGCGCATAATTTTAGTGCAACTAGAGTCGAGTGGACACGCGGATGCACATCGCAGCAACCGTAAAATAAAACTTTGTGAGTTGCTGAACATTTCAAAACAAACCGCACGTTTATGTCTTATTGAAGACAGACATTTCATGATAATGTGTTACCAACATTGAGTGGTGCTAGTGATGCTTCCATCTCATTTGTTCTTGCGTCCGCCATGTTGGTATTATCAGTTACAGGAAATTATAAAGTACGATATTAGTGTAACACAGTGTTATTGAGTGTTGGTTAACTTCGTTCTCTGTCTGTTCTGAAGATGGAAATAAAAGTTCGCCCTTCGAGTGCAGATTTGGAAGGTTTAAATTTATGTTCAATGCGAAGTACCACGGCGAATTTCAGCACTAGTGTCATTTTGTGTATAATTATGAAAATGATGATACGGCGTATACTGCGTAAAATGGAATATTACAACATGGCGACCGGGCGAACAGTTTTTCATTTGGCAAGTGGAGGTTCTCATGGCGATGAGTATGAAGACGGCTGTCTTCTTGGTTGTAGCGCCGTGGAGTCCGGTAGAAGTTTACAAACGTCCTTGTTACCTCCAACACAAAGGCGTTGAAGATGGCTCTGATGATGGAGGCAATAAGGAACTCCGAAACGCTGGTAAAATTTCTACCGGAATAGACGGTACTACAATCCAGACGACAACCATCAAGCGATGAACTGTTGCTTGGACACTCGTGACATTTGGTATGATGGGAGATGTCTACGTGGTTATATTAAATTTATCTAACTTCCATGCGAGTTTGAAAAATAGCAACATGGTGATGATGCGAACATTTAAATTTCTGTACCTTAGATATGGGCGGCAGAGATGTCTCGGATCCGGGTCGTAGAAGGAAATTTCCGAGGGTCGTGATGTTCACATTCCCCAGCCGACTGACCATGAAGCTGCCGATTCGCCCGTACCGTGGAGTCCGCTGCTCGGGGGATGGTTCCTGCTGTATTAATATGCGTGGTAAGTTCACACGAGGAAAAGACGGAAGTAATTCTATATTTCTGTTTTGTTATGATACTTCTGTCTTCCACTGGAATCTGCTGAAAGTACCTCCCTGACTCCCAAAGAGGTGTCCTTACATTCAACTTAAAAGTCACTGATAACAGGTATGGCCCACAGACTTTATAGAGACATCATCCCGTTAGAATGAAACGGGAGGACAACGACAAAAAATATCAACCGTGCTACGTCAATATTTTATACGAGGACCGCCTCCATTTAAATGCCACTTCTATTACCACAAGCAAAAACAAATAAATTTATTCTTTCAATTTTGTCCGGATTTTATGCAACAAATAAATTTGTCTATCACATGTTAGTAACTGGACATTTGATGGGACTGTACCAAATGGCTGTTAAATTTACATTATTTTTTTTAAACTTATTTATGTTCCATCAAAGGTGGAATAGGTCCGTCTCATGCATTTGAAAGCTGTAGTTAATTCATGATAACTGCTTTGTCGGTAGCAGTGAAAATTACCGGGGGGACAAAACATTGTCATACTATCAGAAATGTTACTTGATCCTTTAAAACACAAAGTTAACGTAACTAAAATTTATAAAATTCAGTTTCTATATCAAAACACAACGTGTCGCCATTAAAAAGACTTGGCTAATGTTTTTCAGCGAAATAATCGCTGTTTATTCTGAGGTCCATACGAATCCCCGTAAATACACTCTGTGGGAAAAATACAGAGTTACCACCATGCTTTAAATAAAAGCAAGAAGGACACACGTTAAAAGGTCAGTGGGTCAATCGACATATATCAGGGTGCACGTGTTTTGTGCAAACAGCACATGTCTGTTACGAACGACGAACTGTAGGTGGCCTAAAAAGTCTGGACGAAGCTAAAATATTGTGCAGCACGCCGCAATAAAGCATCGTGAATAATTTAACGAAGACCTACTTCCCAATCTCCGGCCAACCTGTCATTTTACGGACAACTTGTCATACCAGCAGAATGGTTGTAAATAGAATCGTGGTAAATATTAGTTTCTTGTCATATCGAGTCTCTCCTTTCTTTATTATTTTCTTTACTTATCTTCTTCGTTGATTTTCTTATCTCATTTATTATTCGGTTTAAGACAATGCAGATAATGGAGAAGGCAAACGGGGGGTATTGGATTCAGGGATAATCTTCTAAATCCAAACCAATTTGCCTAACGGGTATGTAAATCTGCTGAAACTGCGCTGTACAATGTTGAAACAAACTGAGAATGTAATGGAACAAAATGAACAAAAGCTTCTGACCAGAATGGGATTGAACTCCATCATCTATAGCTGGATCACTTTCGCCCTGGAAAGCATGAATGTAACAGTTTTGGAATAAGTCATGAAGGGGTACATGGCCAGATGTTATCCGAATGGAAGTACTGTCACCTCAGCTTTGAAGCCTGGTGGTCGACGAACTACTTGCGACTCAGTGGGATTTCTAGATCATTATAAATGGGAAATTCCTATAATGGTCTGAGATAAAACTCAACAGTGGCGATGTATTTCTAGCCATACAGAATGGTACTAATACATTTTGACAAAAAAGTATGTGTGTGTATCTCAGAGGACTGAGGGTGTTTGAGAACAGGTCACTGAGAAGAATATTTGTACCCAAGAGGCATGACATGCTAGGATGCTGGAGAAAGTTGCATAAATTGTACTCCTCGCCAAATATAATTAGACCGACCAAGTCAAGGAAGATGGGATGGGCTGGGCTTATAGCACGAATGGAGGAGAAGAGGAGGAGGGTTTTGGTGGGCAAACCAGAAGGAAAGACACTGCTAGGAAGACCTAGACGTAGGTGGAAGGAAAATATTGAATTGAATCTTAGATAAATGGTATGGACTGGATTCATCTTGCTCAGAACAGGGAACACGGTAATGAACCTTCGGGTTCTATAAAATGTTGGGAATTTTTTGAGTGGCTGAGTAAGAAAGCAAATATATCTCATATGCCTTAAGGTACCAACTCGTTCCGAGGAAAAGACGGGTGTCTAAGGACGTCAAATACCTTGCAAGAATGATACAACACGCAAAAAAAGGTACTTTGGATCACATTAGTGCAAGAATGACCTGAGACTCATCAATGACGTCGGTTTAGATAAGCGCACCAATGGCCTACGTGATGTGCCGTGGTGGACGCATTTGGAATGTCAGTTTACTCCAAAGAGAAATTTTTTACGATTTACTTTGTTACGTTGTTGATGTTTGCGTGTGGATGTGCATGTTTTAAAATGTCACTTTATGCTCGTTCGTTTGGTTGCTCTAATAACCGGGGTTATTTTTACATTTGGTTACATACACGCTACTTGATTACTCCTTATAACAGAAATCGTAAAAAGTCAACTACAGAACCCGTTACTTGGCTACGAATAATTTTGCGTACTTACGATGGCAGGAAGCCTAAAGCTGGGCAGGATCGGGTCACTGCATGACCTCTGCCCATGCACCCGTCCCGCCCCTACGCCCACGCCAACAGGCTGATGCTCCGTTCGCTGGACGATGGTTGTGGCAGCAATGTAAGGCTGTCCACAGAAGGGACACGCAGCCCTGAGCCGAGGCCCTGGCTGCTGGTGGTGGTGGATGGTCACTTTGCATGCTGTGCAAGTTGTCACACTCTCTTCACGACCCGTGGTCCCCGTGTCGTCGACTTCGTGGGGTGTCCCGTACACGGAAACCTCCCGGTTATGGCAGGAGCGCTGGGTTAAAAACAAAACTTATTTTGTTCCCACATACTGGGCCCATCACTACTAAATTTTTCTGACAATACGTTGTCGAAAGGAAGTTATGTTTCAGGAATAAGATATTTGAACGCGTTAACCTTCGTGCCGTAAACACGGTCTACTTGGTTTAAAGGAATGAAACCAACGAAACAGACAGAAGAGAGAAATATATAAAGGAATGGAAAGAAAGGTGAAACAATGAAGAAGAAAGGGGAAAAAGAAATAAGGAAAGACGGTGTGATATGAGTTAAATGTCATTCATTTTTTGATTATCTCATAGAATTATTTGATTCTCCTGACATATTATCAAAGACGCATTTGATTAATAGGATTTTAGGTTTTCACGGCGGCGAGTCTGAAGATGGCCGTCTTCTGGGTTGTTTCGCAGATGAGTCACCAGGGACCTCTGAAACGTCGGTAAACTTCTACCAGACTATACGGCGCACGAACCCAGAAGAAGCTATCCTCACGCATTTGTTCGTTCATCTGTCAATCGATTTTGTGCGTCATGGTATATTTAAGATGTAACATCATGGACATTTCGTTTTAACTTCGGAAACAGAAGAAATGTCCTTTAGTCGCACGTGATACAAGAATCACGAACTGGGCTATCGATTTGTTTCATTGTTGTAAACCTGGGAGTGATGTTGCAGGGGAAATATTATGGTGCATAATGTACCTGTGTTGAGTAAAACGAGTGCTTTTTATGTGTACCTTGCACAAAGTGCAAGACGACTTGTGTTCATTGATTCAAACGCGTAACCAAATCTTGTCTTTTTTCAGAAATCTTTATAATATCTACACATTTTGTGTTGAAATTTCTACAGAAACATTTATAGTTTATTTTTCCCAAACAGTAAACTAAACCTTTTTTCAAAGAACGACCGAATTTTTGCCTTTCCACTCCACGCCTTCGGCAAAAGAATTTTTGGCAGAAACACAAATAACACCGTTGAAACATCCACTGTAATAGAATTTTTTTATGTTTCTTGTTCCCGAGGCTAAAAATCTCTTTCAAAGTGTTTCACTTTGAATCACTTGAAGAAATTCATAGCGATGTAACAACTGCACTGAACTAACTGTTGGCAAGTGATTTCCAGGCATAGAAGAGGCGTTAGAATATGCTCATAAAGTCAGGATGAACTTTAATGATAGGCCTGTATTTATCTTTTGTGATGGTGGATCTTCGAGATTCCTGACGGGAAATTTCTAGACCAACCGAAATAACAATTCGTGACCAAAAACAATCCTGGACCATAGTATCAAATAGTTTATAAAAATCTTACCCTTTCAGTGTCGACGTCTTCAGCATCGTCATCCACAGAGCTCCTGAACGTGTTCTTGAATCTCTCCCATACCCACGACATAGGTACCGAACTACTGTTCATCCAAGTTTCTTGATCCTAACTAACCATTGCGAAGTGCTGCATCTGCAGTCTTAAGGAACGCGTTGTATTTTACGAAGCAGAGGTGCATGGATTTCAACGTGAAATCCCTATATCTGTGATACGTGTTCGCTGAACGCATTTGTTTTTAAGAGACTTTCTAATAACTGTATATAACAACCTTCTGAATTTATTGTCCTTTCTAACATCGTTAACTCGTCACTTTATGAAACCCTGAAAATGTCAAAAGAATTAACTTTAGAGCAGAAACGTAGGTGATTTATCGTTTAGGCTAACATTCCTACATTTTCAGGAGAGCCACGGTGACGCTCTGTGAGAGCTATCGATTTTTTCGTGTTTATTACAGTTTAATAAGTTTTGGTTCTGAATGTAATGTGTATTGGAATTAATATCAAGGGAATTCAATTTAACAGAACTGTGTTAACTTAAAGAATTCAGTCACCATGGCAACTGAAGCATTCCGATCCAATGGTAGAGTTGTAACTCTACAGTCTACATAAGACACAAGACGTTAACACTAACAGAACTGGTATGTTCAGTAGGAAATACGAATCATACGTCATACGTCACACGTACACACGCATATTCACGCCTAATCACGCACATTGCAAGGTTTTGGAACTGAACTTTACACCACCGACTATCGCGTTGAAGGAACTTCTCGACTCTAACGCCCCGTTGTCATCCTCTGGACAAAGACACGCTTCTCCCTCCATGACGATGGACATCGATCCACCCTCTCCATGCCTTTAACTGTTCCCCTCAGCAGTCAGTAAAGGTCACAATTTCTCCACATGCAACCGTTTTTCCGCCCCATTTATGTAATTAATTGCCATGTTAAGATAACATTTTTTTAAGACACATAATTTTTAAGAAAGACCTTTGAAAATATACAAAACTTTAATTTTATGTTTCGTATTCTCGTACGTTAGACTTTGTAACTAGTTCCGTATGACATTGTAGGTCTTAAAATTCAGAATTTTCATGCTTATAACGTATTTTGGTACATATGACTGAATGAGCAGTTTCGCGTTTGGTGTAGAACAGGTAATGTTTCATGTTTGGTTAATGGTTTAGATATATTTTACGTAATTTTTATGGAATAAAAAGTCAAAAATAATCACTGTTACTTATTACGTTTTGGAAGATTAAAGTCTTGTAAAGATGTGTTTTTAAGGTAACCCAAGGTTTCTACAAATTTAAATAATTTACTTTATTTATTTATTACATTTTTTAAAAACGGTTTTTCGGTAGTTCAGACTATACAGCGTCAAATAAGAGGATGGTAGTGAATAATGAATTTGAAAGGATGTGGAAGGAAGCGATTGTGGGCTAATTTACTTTATTTAATAATAATATTAAATTAATATTGTTCTCAATTTATACCTGTGGCAGTGTAGAACGTGTTTTGCGAATTTAGTTTTGATTGTCATTAAACCTAATTTTCCAGCTTCAACAATTTTATTTTGTGAAATAGGTGAGTGTAAATTGCTGTTTTTGCTAGCGATCGTGATGTGGGTATTAGAAGAGTGAATCATTCCGCTTTCACAGTCAGACAAGATCGTATTTCTTTTATTACGATGTTGGGTTTTCCAAGAGAGTAGATTGTTACGCATTTTGTTTCTTCCGTTCGCCACTGGCAGGAAGTGACGTAACGACACGCTACATGGCGTACTGAAAGAACGTAATTCAGAAATGACGCCGATTTCTGCTGGAAACAATGTGATTCAGTTACACTGCACATCCATAGCTTCCGGTGTTACTTCGCATTGGTTGGCTGTAAGGCTTTAAGCCCCGTTCACACTGTTACGCTTTTCACTATAATTGATTGCTGATCCAATGTCCTGTACCTTGGAAAGAAATGGTGGTGGGGAGGGGAGCTGCTAACATCCTTCGGGCTGACTGGCAATACTCTGCAGATCCGGAAGCAAGGACGTATTAGAACAGAACGTGGCGTCTCAGCCAGCAAAGTGACTTGCTGAAGGGTCAGATTTTTGGCAGAGAAATTGGGGTTATTGTACAGGTGTGGACCCGGCTTAATATGCAAATTTTAACGAACGATAATTTTCTAATTTGTAATTCCATGTTGCTGTACACTTTCACCTCGTTACAGAAATAAACTCTATAATTACAATATTCAGCGATGTGCACTGTATAATATTTCCATATATTTCGTTAAGTGTACCAACTTAGTGGAGCAGAATCCTTGAGAATGTGATAGTGGCTCAGTTGGTCAAGAATTTTCGTCTTTTTATTGAACTCAGTTTCATTAGGTGTTCACAACTGCATACCATTGGGCCCTGTTCTTAGCCAGTTGAATCCGGTCCACATATTCCTGTGCTATTTACGATCTATTATAATACGTATTAACCTTCCGTATTTAAATGAACTTTAATTGTGGGCTTAATACATACAACATGTTATAAATTGTTTTAAATAAAAGTTGTAGACTGTAATTAGATTTGTGCTTTGTATAATGGATCAGCTGATGAGATAATTGGTCAATTCGATTAGGATTTCATGTAAAAAATGTATAATGGACCGATGTAAAGCAAAATTATACCAGCGCGCCAATATTTGACGCAGATTTCAATATCAAATTTTACTTGGTGATGGAGTAGTTCTTTCCAACGGAGTCCCTAGAATATAATTCTTACTGTCAGGCATGGCTGATACTGTTACGTCTTGTAATAACAAGACTATTGATAATGTCCAAAAATTAAAATTTATTTCAATATGGCCAGATATATTCAAAATCATTCCATCGAAATCTCTTCAGTCGTTTCAGAGATGAAACATGAGGACGTATACAAAGAACTCTGCAGCCATTTTATGTACGTCATACAAATAGTGGATAAAATATGTACGAAAAAAATATTGCGAGTTTTGAGATGTTTTATTACATGAGCAGTCCTAACGAAAACGGCGTACTTGTTAAGGGCGTATACAACATTAGCCCAGTTTCTGCGTCGGAACGTATTTCGTCGGGCGTGACGTTTCTCGGGTGCTGCTGTATTTTCTTCAAGAGCTGGTGTTCGCGCGTGGATGCGCTCCAGCGAAGACGCCTCTCCACCGTGTTTTGATTCTGTGTAACGCGAGCTAGACACCAGTTTGGCGTGCACAGCCGTTATCAAAACAGCTACGTTGAATGCAAGTGCGCATCGAGTAGTGGAGTAACAGAAGTCTAAGGAGGATTTGTAGATTGCAGATGTCGGCTCATCTTTCGGCAAGTATACTCAAGTTTTGCGAGGCCCTTGAATGAAAGTCTTTGTGCGATAATTCATGTAAAAGGATAAGTTAGATGGCACATTCGTGATTTTTCGAGAAACTGATATTTTAGGCAAAAAATACGCGTATTTTGGCGCAAAAACGTTTGCAACTTTGTAAAACAATGTACATAAATGGAGGATTTTAAACTGTGAATCATTTGTTGATTTATTGAACGACTCTTTGTTGGTCATATACCTACAGCAGAGGTCGGTAACGTTTTCAATACCGCGGTCTGCGTTAGCGATTCATATCATCGTCGAGGGCCGCAGAGTAATATAATGTCGTGGAGATAAAACAAATTTTTTTTCTTTTTAAATTTTTTTGCTTTCGTTTGCCTTTACGTGTAGATAATGTACATATATTTTAACAGTGTTCTTCCCAGTAGCATGAAAATGTTGCCCTTCTCTTATTGGCTAATTCCCAAATCATGCGATCCGCCGCTTAAAAAGTTACGTGGGTCACAGTTTTTTAACCCTGACCTATAACACTTAATGGTAAGCCCAAGACTTTAAGTACTGCGATCTATTTGACGCTGTCACGCAGAACGCTGATTCGTTATGAAGTTATGCAGTACTGTTGTAAAGGCCGTCTAGCGTCGTTAAGAGCCAGATGTTAATGTCTGTAAATCTTATCTGTTAGACAAATTCTTTACGTAATTAAAGAAAGACGTAAACTGTCGCGTCTAAGTATTGGCAGTTTTATTTACTGTTTAAACTTGTTTGCTATGTATATTTTTTCTGTAATGAATGAAACCCTGATATTTTGAAACAGGCAGTAAAATTTGTTGTTAATGAAAGCATCTCCATTCGTAGGTCACTATCTTATACATAAAATTGTGGGTATATTCGCTTATAGCTCGGGAACGAATTTACCAATTTACACCATACTTGGTGTATACTTATTCTCTGAAACAAGAAAGAAGTTTTAGAATGATAAAAATTCTGAGAATTGTCCCGGGTTCGAAATCTGGTGAGTATAATTTATGTATCTTGTAAAAGTTTAAAACAGTCGCCAAAACTGAAGTTGTGTTTTTCGACAAGAAGATTACAGGAACAATGGCTACGACCCCGAAAAACTATCCTGAGACGGTTTCTGTAGCTCGAAAACTAAACATAATAGAACCGCGCAAGGCACACAATTTTTTGTTTCAGCGAGATTGCAGGAATTAAGGTCACAAACTCGAAAACTTCCCTTGGTTTGAGTCTCGATGAAGATGTGAAAAGGGACATAATACGTAACAATAATAATTATCATAATTATTATTTTTCTGTAGTATTCAAAGACATGAATCGAATTATCAGGCCTATAATAAGCTTTCGGACATTAAAGATTGGAAAACCACTAAAAATGTTATTCTAAATGGTGGTTCTGCCAGCCAAAATACGAAAAAAGAATGTTTACCACCAATACATAGATACGAGGTGCGATCGGAAAGTTTCAAGACTGTGTCAATAGCGGGCGAACCGGATGTACTACGAGCTTCTGCCTTTAGGGGGTGCGGCCTACATTCATAGTGAATCAGTGTGCCAGCCGACATCATCAAATTAGCATTTGTTTCTTAGTTACGGGCGTTTTGGTAGTGCATTACACCGACCCTCCTGCGATTTCGGAATGGCGTGTGCATCAAATTTTGCCAAAGACTCGCCAAAACGGCTACGGAAACCTGTGAAATGCTAAAGCAAGCATTTGGGGAGTCCGCAATGGGTCGTGCACCAACTTTTGTGTGGCATTCACGTTTTAAAAATGGCCGAACCTCTGTCGATGATGACGAGCGTTCTGGACGACCATCTTCGGGCACAACGCCCGAAAATGTTACGAAGATTCGGCAGGGCATTCACGAAGATCGACGTCGTACCCTCAACGACTTGTGCGACATTGTTGGGATAGGCTATGGGACCTGTCCGCTGATTCTAAAGGAAGAACTCCACATGCGACGCATCATGACAACGCGCCAGCGCACACCGCCCTCAAAGTTCGGCAGTTTTTGGCCTCAAACACCATGGCCGTCATCCCGCACCCTCCTTATTCGCCGGATTTAGCTCCGTGTGACTTCTTCCTCTTCCCAAAGATGAAAATTCAGCTAAAGGGAAGGAGATTTGAGACGATGGAAGAGATTCAGGCAGAATCGCAGATGGTGCTTGACAGGCTGACAAAGAAAGATTTCCAGGCTTGGCAGCGGCGCTGGGATCGTTGTGTTCATTCCCAGGGGAACTACTTCGAGGGTGATGGATGAATTTAATATCTGAGATAAGTGTACGGGTTTTTATAGGCGCAGTCTTGAAACTTTCCGATCGCACCTCGTATAACTTCATTAAGTGAAACGAATTAAAGCATTAAACACCACAACTTCCATTTCGCTCTCAGGCATAAAATGTCATATTTCTCATCTCCGATACGGGCTTACAGTTTGCCCATTTCATCCTCTGAGACTTTTGTTGTAGTACTTAAACTGTCTTAAGTAGAATGTTATCCAGTGTCTCGATGTTATAATTAAAATATTTTTTCTAATCTTCTGTTGAAATGAATTAAAGGGAACTCGTCTGCGAGGTGCTCCCCAAAACTTCGGGGAATTTGCTCATAAAAAAATTGCCTATCATAACTCCTAGTTTCCACCGTCTCCTTCGAAGTAGTCCCCTTGGGCATGGATACAGCAATCCCAGCGTTTTTTCCATGATTCCATGCATCCATGGCTGGATCTCCTCCATTGTGTCAAAACGACGGCCTTTCAATCGAAATTTCATTTTGGGGAACAGGAAAAAGTTGAAGTGGGCGAGGTCAGGCGAATAGCATGGGTGGGGAATCACTGTCGTGTTTTTGGAAGCCAAAAACTGCCGAACAACGAGCGATGTGTGGGCGGGCGCGTTGTCGTGGTGGAGAACCCAGCTGCTGTTTTCCCACTTTTCAGGACGTTTGAGCCTAATGCTCTCCCGTAGCCGCTTCAAAACTTCACAATAAAACTTCCCGTTGACAGTTTGACTAGGAGGGACAAATTCCTTGTGGAGAATGCCTTGGAAAAGATCAACATGGACTTCACATTGCTGCGAACTTGACATGCTTTTTTGGCCGCGGTGAATTTGGCGAATTCCACTACGAAAACTGCTGTTTAGTCTCAGGGTCATAACCGTAAGTCCATGACTTATCACCGGTTATGACCTTGGAGATGACGTTGGGGTCATCTGTGGCTTCATCTTTGAGTTCAGTGCAGACAGCAACGCGATGTTCTTTTTGGTCGTTGTTAAGCAGGCTCGGCACAAATTTTGCAGCAATGCGTCTCATGTTCAAATCGTCTGACAAGATGCGTTGTAAGGAACCGTACGATATTCCTACGATCGCACAAACATCATGGATTGTTCGTCTACGATCTGCAACCACAGCCTCTCGCACTTTCGCGATGTTTTCCGGTGTTGTGCTTGTCGATGGCCGTCCTGAACGCTCATCGTCGTCGACAGACGTTCGTCCATCCTTATAGCGTTTGTACCAAAAAAAAAGTTTTACTTTGACTCATAGCATTCTCACCAAATGTTTCCACAAGCACGCGGTGGGTTTCTACAGCAGTTTTTTTAAGCTTAAAGCAAAATTTGATGCAGATTCTTTGCTCCTTAAAATCTGCCATTTATGCAGGTTTAAAAAATCACCGAACCACTACAACACAACGTTACAAAAACGCACGAGACTCAAGAACGCGGCCTCTCGCCTTCACGGCTGTTGGCACACTAATTCACAAAGGGTACTGCTCGCCCTATCTAGCGGCGGCAGGCCATTCCACAACCGGTTCGCGCATGGAATTCAAATTCCCCGAACTTTTGGGTAGCACCTCGTGTGTGTGTAACACAGATTTCGCAAGTTGTTAAAACCTGAACAAAGAAATTATCCCATCTCTTACAACTTACTCGTAGTTCGACCACAGTATTTAAAAAAACCCTCTTATGTGTGAGAAGAGAAAGGCCTGTTTGTTTGTCTCTATAAACTGCAATACGGAAGACTCTCACGGTATCATCAAGATAAATGGGTAATTATAATCAGTTTTTTTACTATTTTGTGTCACAATAAACTTGTTTTGTTCCGTTTCACATGATTTGGTGTCACGAGTGACCTGGTCTCGGGCTGTTCTTGTTAAGACTGAATGAACGTCTTTAGTTGGTAGAAGGATGCATAAAAGTACAGGGTGTTCCAAAATGTTTTCCTTGTTACAAAATTTAATATCAAACGAATCACTGAAGATAAAGGTACATAGTTTGCGGAATTTTGTACCGTCAGTTATAAAGTTTCGTTCACAGCGCGAGTCACTAGGAGTCAAGTGACAGCGCTGCTGTCAGTCACAACTAAAAATGGTGACAGCACAGGAAAAGACCCCATGTGATTTGTGGATTTCGGAGTCAGACTTAGCTTTGAAAATGCAAAAAAAATTATCACTGTGGTACACGGTAAGACTTAACCTTCGAAAACCAATTGTCAAGATAGTGGATGAGGAAGTTTCTCACGACAGGCAGAGTTACAGAGGAAAGTAGCAATATGTCCTGCGTGGATTGTGTACTGTACGTCTACCTACGTAGCCCCAAGATGAATATCCGTGACTTCGTGCCTCATGCTTGTTTAACTTATTTATAACATAAATGTATAACGTTGTACCTAAACATTTAAAGCTCGACGAGCGAAGTGCAAATTTTGCCAATGGCTTTCTGGAACCTATTGATAAAGGTAACAGTGGAAAATGTCAGTTACCTCAAAGCGCGAATTTGATGGTCCGAGAATCTACATTCATTTATTTATCATATCGTGACAGTCCAAACATTAATGTCGGATTATTGATCATTCTTTTTCGTAGAAGAAACTGGACGTGGATCGAATATTTTTTGGTATCAAATGTAGGAACTGGGGCCTTTAATCTTCTAAAAGGACGGTGTCTCACCATACTGGAATTTAGCTATACGTGATTTTTTTTAAACCAAACCATTCGAGGACGTTGGCTTGGATGGAACGGGCCAATTTCATGTCTCCACGGTCATCTGACATTACCCCTTTTGACTTAGTTTGGGAAAAAGTCAAGGACCTAGTGTATCCTGTACCGAATTTTGTCATATTGCTTACTCAATCAAAAATGTACATGAATTGAAATTTAATATCGACTTCACGCACTGCACGCATGTTAATAAGGAACTTTTACCTGAGGATACAAAATTAAGAAAACCACATAAATTTATCATCAGCTTTTCGGTTGATATTATGTGTTGTAATAGGTAAGATAATACATGAACACGCTGTATCTTAATATCTCAAAGAGCTATAAAACGTGTTCACGCGGACTCTGCGAAGTGTGTCACTTGTAATGTGACGTAGGTCAGATAGAGGCCATGATGAGATCTTGTTTTCACGGAAAATAGCCTCTCCACCTTGTTTTATCTTATACGCATATATTTTGTGGTCTAGAAAGTTGAAATTACTTTGACCATCATGTTATCTTCTACTCGTGTGCATTGTTCCTTGAATATTGTCAGTTCTAAACAAATTTTGTAGCAATTCTGTGAATAGACATTACAGTCGTTATTTAGGTTATGAAAATGCTTCGAGAAGAAGAACGAAGTATTACCATACGTAGTACTTTTAAATTTAATCGATGAACTTCTGTTTTAAATGAGAACTAGAGCGGAAAGAATTTGCTGGAGTTCTTATAGATTATTACAAGATATTCAACAACATGTAGCAGACCTTTAGTGTCGATCTCTCGAGAGTGTCTTGTCAGTTTGTTCTGCATATTAAACATTTAAAAAAATACATGTTTTAGTTGATCGTCAGGGGGAAAGACGAAATAAGTTTCATGCATATTTTATTATTAAAGATTGGTCACTAAATAAAAAAATTATTAAGTGACTGATTCCAAACTTGGAGGAGATTCATAAACCGAATTTTGTTGCAAATTTCAGAATCATAACCCACTGGAGTTAGAGAATGTCATTTACAGGCGGGAAGAAGCGAAGTAGACAGGCCCGGGTTCACATTCCTTCGGAGCCCCTGTTAAAATCGTTAAGTGATTCCGCCCACCTGTCCATCCGTCTGTACACCATGTAACAATTCGAGAATAACTAAACGGATTTTATGAAGTTTAATATTGGGAAGTTTTGCGAAAAATTGACTATCCATTTAAATTTCAGTAAAGACTGACAATTTAATGACAACTTTATTTGATGTCATAATATTAATTAGTTGATCTTTGTAATGGCGCCGTGTTGTTTTCTTTAGGAAACTGGCTTTTTGGGTGCCATGATAAAATCAGAGTAAGCAACTGATCCTTGTGGTGGTTAGGCATTTTTTTGTTTTAAAGAAACTGAATCTGGTGGTTGCCGTGACAACATCAGACCAAACATCTTTTCTGCAGAGTGTCCTTCGTCTGTCCTGTGGTTTGAAAGAGAGCATTAAATTGAAATTCCCAAAATTAAAATCTACAAGCAATAATAGACCAAATGCTTGCAAATTATAGGCTTTATGAAAGCGTATTTCTCATTATGTCTTGTTGAGTAATGATGATAATGTCATAGGCCAACAGTTTATATCCATTTATTTTAATTTCACATCTGAAACAAAAATCCTGATTATTAAAATGAATTATGATAATGTTACGTACTGTTTTATGGATGTGAAATTTGGTTTCTCAAAATAAGGAGAAGAAAAATAATGAGAATAATAACGAATACTTCGACCTAAGAAAGGAATTGACAAGAGGATGGAAAATTTACACGATGAGAAATTGATAGTCACGCGATTAGTTGAGAACTTACCGCAACTTTTCCCTTCTTTATAAATATTACTACGGTCTAAAACCCGAAAGGATAAGACCGTATTGAAGATGAAAGCATGAATGGAACGAAATAATTAAAATTGAGCTTCGGGTTTTAGAGTTTGGGTTGGATTAAACTGACTCGGGATAGGATCCTATGATCAAGGTAATGAATTTTCGTGTACCAAAAATAGTGTCAATTTCTTAACTAGTCTTGAGACTATCAGCTTCTCAAGGACTACGCTGTGGAGTGAGTTAACCCTCGACTAGGATATGCGTTCACTCTGTTTCTGGATGCGTGAGTCTTAACTGGAAATGTTCTAATGGTTGTGTTACAGGAGGGGACGCTGCTGATGTGAAGGTCAAAACATCATGGCAGTACAGCAGTCTCACCCCCTTACCCCGGTGCCACCCGTTTCTTGGAGGTTCTCCCCGCTTCCTACTCACATCTTCAGCTTGCTTCCCGATGCCTGTAGCAGTGAGAGTAGTGACATAGAACTAGAACAGAAACAAGGTCTGCAGCAAATAGAAGAATGACGGAAATCACGTCAACAACAACAACAATACGAAGAGTACTGCAGCTTCCTGGAAGAGCAGAAACACAAATTCTATCTGCAACAAGCTCAACAGTACCGAGAACAAGAAGACCACGCGAATGGACACATCGAAGAACAATGCCATCGAAACGGGTGCTTTCAGAAATGTTTGAACGAGTACGATCAGGAACAACAATGTATACAGGGTGATTCCGTTTACAAACAGAATCTCAGTCGGTGCGTTCAAGAACAAGGGAAATATAACGCAGATGGTTATAACCAAGTGCACGACGCATATCAGTTGAATGGATACCTTCAGGAAGAATCACATCACGACCAAGAATATCAGTTAACGAACGATACGCAACAGTGTTATGTCCAGCAAGAGCTGCAGTATCAGTACGCAGTGCATCAGAGTGTAGAAAACGAGTGTCAGTATCCGACAGGAGGTGGCGAGGAGTGTCGTCAACGGCTCGAGCAGAGTTACACCACCGACAAAGAGGTAGACGTTGCGCTCGGGCAGACTGAACGGCTAATAGGTCAGCAGGAGACAGAGGAGGGCGGTAGAGTGTTCTGCATTGTTGGCCCGAACGGAAGTCCTAGACTCTCGACATATACGTCCATGTCGACGTCGGTTGGGTCATCTGAAGGTGAGTACTGACCATGAAGCAGATCTTTAGTGTAACTTTTGGTGCGTAACTTTAAGGTTTGCTTATTCTTACACTGGTTCTATTGAATTTTGTTGCTGGGAATTGTTCGTAAAAATTTGTCCCCCTGAAAGAAACACGAATTGACATTTTTGATGTCGAGACAGTAAAATAAATCCACATTTATGTAAAACCCTTAGGTTCACTACCGTGCTCACAAGAGCTCGCTGGTGGATCGTATACTGAGCCAGTTGAATCCAGACAACACTTTCACATCGTATCTCTTTAATATTATTCTCCCATCTGTTTCTAGGTCTTCTAAATTGTTCCTTTCCACGAAGTTTCTTAATCGAAATTCTGTTCCCATTATGGCTGCCCTTATCCGAGTAAAATCATAACCTGCTTCTCGTAGTCCCTTCATTTCCCCAGCAATGCCATGCGGCCACCATGTTCTCACTGCTGCGAGTGTGAAAATGGCTATCTTCTGAGATGTTGCGCCGTGTAGTCTGGTACAAGTTTACCGACGTTTTAGAGTTGCTAGCGTTCTGCCTCCACTGCCCTAATGATGGGCGACAAGCACCTCTGAAACGTCGGTAAACTTCTACCTGATTACGCGGCGCAACATCTAAGAAGATAGTCGTCTGCAAATATCACGAGGGTCGTCATGTAATCTCCTAAACTGTCTACTTACTTTGTCCATTGTAACTTTTAGTTACGAATTTTTTGTTTTGTTTTTCTGGTACTTGGTTTACTTTGAGACAGTTCTCAGCTGCATAAGTTCTTTAGCGTCTGTTTGGCAGGATGTTGAAGGAAGCATTCCTGAAAACCAGCATTTATTTGAGGATATTACAAAAATCTTTTGTTAGAATAGCCGGTTACCGCTGCAAGATTCGAACCTGGATGTGCCCGAATTTGAACAAGATTTCTAACCATTCAACTGCAATTCTCATTGTTCTAACGTGTTTCACGTAATTCAGAAATAGGAAGAGGCAATTGAAAACCAGTGAGTACCTCCTCCAATCACAGCCCAGGTATTAGGCGTGTTGTAAATCCGTACAGACAGAAAAATTATGTTTGAATGCGATTATTTCTCTCTTGTCCATAAGCCTACATTCATCAATTTTTCGTCACCTTTATTTCTCCCCACGCAGAATCAGTTTTAGACGAGAGGATTCCATTAAAATTTAATTTAATTTCTTATGGCGTGGACTGGTTTTGTCTGGCGTAGAGTATGTTGCAGTGGCTGACTGTTGCGAAGTAGGTAATACATTTTTGTATTCCGTAAAAGGCGGGACATGTCTTGACTAACTGAGCGACTAACAGCTTATCAATGACTGCTCGACTTTGTTTATTAATGGTATGCGGAATATTTCAGTATGATGTAGTTAGGATGGATACCGCTGCAGTCAGATGGCGTCGCTGTAGCATTCCTCTTGTCCCTTGTCAAGTTGTGATGTTCTTCTGTTGCTAAAGGAATGTGTACTCATGTGAGGCTAAACAGTGCCCATTAAAGATAGACAACAAATGCTGTCTTTTATTCCTGTCTTTTAAACAGACATCGTGTTTGTGTTTAGTTTTCCACGACCGTGTTATCAATTCAGGAAACTTTAAGGTGCAGAATCATTCTTGAGAAGCTTATACTTAATCTTCTAGTTAAGAAATTACCACTCCGCCTTTCGGGTAATCAGAAAGCCACTTCTCTTTATCCTGAACAGTATGAATCAGGTCGACATCCTCACACTCAATTTTAATACGTGTGTTAATGTTAGTCTTCCATCTAATCCTAAGTCTAGCAAGTGCCCTTTCTTCCCTTTGGATTTTCGAACTAAAATTTTATGTCCATTTCAAATAGCTACCTTACGAGTTACATTCCATCTCATCGCAGCCTTTTGTATTTGGTCACGCGTGATAAACTAAAACAAGAATAAATAAAAAAATAATGAAATATTAGGGAGAACAGTTATTGATTTTACTGACCATTTCACACGCTGTTTAGAAAGTGGAGATCCGATCACTAGGTCAGTGTTAACCTCAGCTGCAGTCCTTTCAGATCGCTGAGGCGTGCGAAGGAAGCATCTAACTGTGAAAGTTTATTTCCATTGCTGGAGGAACTTGCAATAACGGTTGTAAATACCCTTCTCTGTTTTAGTCACGCAAACTTTGTTGCGCAGCTTCGACTATTCATTTCATAATTAGTGTTTTTTCAACTCATTGCTTTATTCCGTTACGTTCACAGAATAAGCAGATTTTGTTTCTGCGAACATAACCATCCATCTATCTATCCATCGCCAGCCACATGACATATCCAACGAAAAACGTTCACAATAGACGATAGACTTCTATCATTTCTTGCAGGACAAAGGGATTTCTGGAAATAATTTGCAAGTCAACTTTTCATGATTACATAGGCCCACACCGAGACTAACAGTTGTAGAAAAAAACTCACATTCTGTCTATGAATTTTGAGAAAAAAATCTGATAGAACTATCTAGTTTCATGGAAATCTGTTCTCTGGTTCTCAAGTTATCAAATGCGGGTGAACAGACAGGACGAAGCTGATACACGCATTTTGTAACTTATAGTCTGGAACGTGACTAAAATTCCGACCTGCCTCGGTACATGCTACCATATACACAAATCAAATAGTCCCTGTCTTTTATGGAACCCGAATCTCATCGTCCTGATGATGGAGTCAGCAAGAACCTCTGAAACGTTGATGAACTTCTACCACCAATACACGGCGCCACAACCCAGAATAACCATCTTCTCTCTCATCGCCTTGAGAACCTTAAATCCCACGTAGTTCTCAAACAGTTTTCTAACTTCCTAGTATTTTGTCTTATACTTTGTATAGAATTTAGTAAAAAGTCTGGTCACTGACAACACACTCATAACATAAAATATCATGCAGATTGCTCCAACAATAGGAACGCTCTTAGTAAGGGTCGATGTTTTGAAGACAACATTTAGCATGACGTCACTGCGTCAAGATCGAGTCAATTCTCCGCTCAGACAGACTGTAGATTTGTTTTCGTAGAGTTTAATTAGAGAGCAACATAGAGGTTTCCAGCAGATGAAATCAAGACAATATTTGTACTCGATAATCAATTTCATATGAAATTTGAATGATTATGTCGTCAGTTCGGAAATATCCTGATTCGAGTGATATAACGTAAGAGAATTATGGGAATAATGAAAGTGAAAGAAGTAGACGCATGCGTACTATGGTTTATCTCAAGAGTAATGACTCACACGTGAAATATTTACATCTGCCTGTGTTATGATCTCATGATGTCATGTCAAATGATTACAGAGGATGTACCAACCGTTTCGCTAAGGCAAAATCCTGTGAACAAATTTCCCCATATGTTTTAACGAAATGAATATTCATTGTGCTGTGAAATAATAAACGAAACAATGGCTCAGTAAGTACAACAAAATGTTGCTTTGCAGTGGGCAACAATCATGCATCACGATTGCGAAATCAGAGTTTCGAATCTCGGCCCGGAAATCGGTAATCGACCGACGGATTATTCGGTGTTTTACTCGATTCCTCAGAGAAAAATGCTCAGAGATTAGGTATTTTTAAACAGACCACGCCCCTTTCTTTCCACACCTTTTCCGATTCAACATTCACGCAAAGCATTCTACCATTCTATGTGGGCGTGCAGGGTCTACGTAGTTCAAATGAGTTCGATAATCGATACTGTTTCGTCTCTCATTTTTTGTACATCGCATAGTAAAACAACTGAATAAGTAAACGAAAGAGGGCGTGAAGAAATGGATAGGGATGCTTGTCCTCCTTTACCTCTGTCACAGAGAGGCCATTGTTCTGTTGTTACAAGTATTCAGATGAGACGGTCTGTGAAGCGGTTTAAGCGAGTTAGTGCTTCCTTGACTCAGGTCATTGTTTATTAAAGCGTTCATCCATGCAAGCCTCAGTCATGTGTACCTTTTCAAATCTAGTAAACAAGTGAGAGCATTGTTGTTGTCACTTAAGAGCCTGTTTAGTTCTAATTTAATTAATATTAATTTAATTTCCACCGAAAAGAAGCAATATTTATCGAAGGTAAAAGTGGCAATGCGAAATTTGTAATTAATTTAAAATTGTATACGTGAAGTGGATCAATTGTGTGCTTTAAACTGGAACAAATGAATAAGAAAGGCTGTTTTCAGTTCTGTTAATTGATTTTTGAAAATAAATGTACCAACAAAATACAATTATCTGATTGCATTCCTCAACAGTAAAGACACTCGATTTTTGTGAGATTCTGTGTGTAATCATAATCAGAGATAGGCTTTTTTTCAGTTTGGTTAATTGGTTTTGGAAGAAAATATACCCACAAAAGATATTTAAATGTGTAATCGTCAGGTCTGAATTTGAACTTAGACTTTGACACCATTATGGATGAATTCGATATTTTATTCGACATCTCAGTATTGTCATAGACCATTGGAGTATCTCATCCCGAGGATATCCGACCAGCATTAAATTGCCTCAATACAAAAGTTGGTGTGACATTGCGCTACGCTAACCGCTAAGTTTGACCTCGGGAACTGAATTCAGCCAGTCATGGGAATTTAGTTTTGACTTGATTTTAAATTAATTTAACAATCTGTAAACAAAGCGGGAAAGGGAACTGGTGATCTTACAGAATTCACAATTCGGCATGAGCGGAAGAAATTTTCGCATTCCCGGAAGCAGTTACTTGGCTTTGTGTTCAGAGAACACTCTTAACTTTTGCCGTTCAACAGACACACGTCGCTTTTTTCCAACACAAACGTTTCGTGCTCATCTTATTCCGCCACACCTTGACCAACCGAGAGATCACTAAAACGAAAGAAACGTAATTATTACACTGTGCGCACATTTCCTAACTTGTTGATACTTGTGTAGGTATGCGGCTGGAGCTTGCTGGAGTTACGCTGGACAGCAGCACGGACGACCTCAACGGCATTGCGACCACATGTGGTTATCGGGACGCTCGTCAACAGAGGAAAGATCTGTCCATGGATTCTGGCATCCAGGGTAGCTCCTGCGACCTCGCTGCAGACAGCAGCGGCTCCGACCTCGATGACGACAGCCTCAATGGGTGGGGTCATGTTTCATACATATCTGATCCTTCTGTTGCGACACCAATTTTATAAGGCTGGTGCTCAGAGCAATCATGCGTTTCTTCCAGAAGTTATTTTTATTTTAAGTGCATGTCTCATCCATTCTTCTTCATTTTGAAATTGTAGATTCATAAAAAAAACTATTGTTACGTAACTGATTGTTGCAGATCTCTTGAAGTAACTGTACCTGATTGTCTGGATGATAAGAATGTATCTACTGCAATGAGGATCATTAGTGGTGGTGCCACTGGTGATGTGGAAGTCCATCATGGGGAAACGTTGAACCTGGTTGAAGAGTTGTACATTATGGAGGATTCCAAAAAGGAACTCCATCCTGTGCCTCAGGAGGTGGTCCTGGAAGGATGTCATGCTTTCAAGAACCAAAATCTCTCCATTGCCACAGAAGTGGTTGTCGACACCACGAACTTGTCCATTCCTGACAGTCTAGAAACTCCTGTACATCTCCCAGAAAACCTCTGCAGGTCTAATGGCGAAGACAAAACGTTTCAACGGTCCCCAACAAATGTTTCAGACACAACAACTGACAATGTCTGCAATGGCCATCGAACATCCAGAAATCTGTCCCCAGTGAGTGACAAATCTGCAAGAGATAATTCAATCAAGAACCTCGACTCTACAACAGGAACATACGTGTCTTATTCTACTCCCTCTCTGGATGACGTCACACTTGTTGAAGCAATGCCAAAAAGTCGTGTTAGAGCCAACATGACAAAAATGGTTACAGGTGGTTGTAGGGCAGAGTTGGACATATCACATGATGATAGTAATGACACCAAGGAGGTTCCCCAGTCACTTCATTGCCAACATTTTGTTGTGGTTGCCATAGATATTGGAACTACATACAGCGGATATGCCTTTTGTTTCACTCGGGACCCAGATTCAAACATTCACATGATGAGAAAATGGGAAGGTAAGTTTTTAAGCAAGTCCATATTTTTTACATTAATATTAATAATAAAACAAAGACTGGAAAGATGTATTCTAAAGGCATTCTTTGTGGTTTATGGTCTAAATTTAACAAATAGACTTAAATATTTGCAATTAAAGGTAAATTGTGTCTGAAACTTTACAGAATTTATTGCCAACTTGGAATGAGATTGTTTTAAAATTCTTGAAGACAATTGATCGACTGCGTGTACAAGGCAGCCCATGTGCTGCTGCTTTACTATGACTGGGAGAATAGGTTAGTAGCTGAGCTAGGAGGTGAAACGTTACTATTGCATCATTCCAAGCTATTGGACTGCAGACAGCATCAGCGTTAAGTACGAAAAGCAGTATGATTAAGAATAATGAACAGAGAAGAGGAAAAGGGGTGGCTGAACTTGTGATATAGTTCTCTTCGCTCCCACTTACAAAAGAAGCCAGTAATCTTTGAACAAAATATTTATATACATTCTAAGAATATCCGAGGTTATTTTGGCTTTTCAAGAAAAGTACCAAGATATTATTAAATACAGGTAAATTATTCTTTTTGGAAATCTGATTTCATCCCCTTTGGAGCTATAGCTTCTGTTCAGACTTGTGACGCAGATGGTTAATACTGTAGCTCAGGCCTGTGTTTTTTATAGGAGGAGACCCTGGTCTGAACAACCAGAAGACACCAACAACACTACTCCTGACACCCAATGGGGAGTTCCACTCATTTGGCTTCACAGCCAGGGATTTCTTCCATGACTTGGATATACAAGAGGCAAAGAAGTGGCTGTATTTTGACAAGTTCAAAATGGCTCTTCATCACAACCAGGTAGCGTAATATTTTAATTACATGAACCGTTGTCTTTTACATAAGATTTTAATCTCCCAGAGTGACTGAAAACAATTATGTCTTGTCATGCATTTATCTATGTTGGTATGGAATGAATTTCCAACATTTCATGTGTCGTCTCTCTCTCCACTGTCAGGGACTGACATCATCTTGTTTCCCCCTTAGTTACTTCCAGAGTGCATTCTTAATGAATCTATTTCCATTGATTTGTAATTTTGAACAATGTAAACATGTACAGAGGCTATGTTCATTTGTCTTAGGACTTGAGCCGCAGTACTAAGTTACAGGCGGCAAATGGCCAGTCGGTATCTGCACTTACTGTATTTGCCCATGCATTACATCATCTCAAGAACCATGCTTTGATGGAATTGTCGGATCAGATGGGCTCAAATGTTGGTGTTGAAGATGTCCGTTGGGTCGTGACTGTACCTGCCATCTGGAAGCAACCTGCCAAACAGTTTATGAGAGAAGCTGCATATAAGGTCAAGGATTGTTTGGTTATTTACCACCATACAAATTTCACATATCAAATTTGAAGAATTCATCAGTAGTTGTCACTCCAAAACATTTTGTGTAGCCATTATACCATTATTTTTATTTTACACAGCTATTACCATGATGTTCGTGGTGGTGGTAATGATGATGATAATGTTTTTCCCAGTACATTACAGACTCCTCACTTTTCAGCTTTAATTTCAACGTGTTTTAATCACTGGCACATCATCAAATTCTGGTGTTTAAATAATATTCTGACACTGTTTGCTAGCCTCAGATTGACTCCAGATCCTGAATAAAATTTGTAAAACACGTGGTGGACTCAGTCTAACATCAGACCAGAACTAGGATTTTTTAATGTCGGACTGAGTCCAACATAGGACTGCAAAGGGTTAAGACATAAGTTCTGATGCATTCCCAACTTCATGTGAACATGTATAGTCGTTTGGGTTGCATTTTAAATGGAACACTTTATCATAGAAAATGTAAAATATCACTTTTGTGATATCATCATCATCATCATCATCATCATCATCATTGTAGTCATCATCATCATCATTATTAACATTTTATATTAACTGTAATAGAAACAGTAGCATTCATAACTAGCAGTCCCTTAATTTAACCTACTTATTTGGTTACATAATTTATTTTTCTGTATATCTGGCTACTTAATATTATAATAGAGTGAAAAATTATTACACAGGCTTGTGAAGTTATCATGTAATCATGATTTATGTAGTGGAGTATGATACATAAAATATAATGATTGGATGACCAAGCATTGCAAGTGTTGATAATTTTCTTTTTGCTTCATTCCTACCGTCAGGCAGGTTTGTGTAAACCTGACCATCCTGAAGGTCTCTTGATTGCATTAGAGCCCGAAGCAGCTTCCATCTGCTGCCGGAAACTGCGTCTGAATCAGCTTGTGCTAGAGCGACCCACCGAGCAGACCAAGCTAAAACTGAGGCGAGCCTCCAGTTCTACCTTGAGTCTTCCCCTGGAACCCACTGGAAACAATCTCATACTTGAAGACAGTAGAGAAGGTACTGTTCATATGTGTTTGTCCATTCATTGCTTCCACATGAAAGAAACACACCAATATTTTATACATACTGACTGTAATAAACTTCTTTGATAAATATTTTTTCTTAAAGACAATTTGATGTTCGAAAATTTCTGTGTTCTGTGTAGTCTGGTCGATGTTAACCAATGTTTCAGAGGTCATACTGCCTCTGTCATCATCACCCTGATGACAGAGGCAGTAAAGCCCTGAATGTATGTATATATAAATCAAATTAAAAATTTTTTTAGACAATGAAAGGATGAACTGATATTCTTCCTTTAATAGACTTTTTTTTAAAGTCAATTAAAGTATATGATTTTTGCTTCCTTACAACTGTCTTCATATACTGCATTTATATATCAGTTACACAATTTTTGCTATATCATAAAGCCAGTCCTAATATAACTAAATGTCACATGAAAATGTGGTGTATTATAGTAAATACCCTTACCTTTAAAATAAAATCCAGTATTTCAATACCATATTTAGGTACACGATATATGGTAGTGGACTGTGGAGGAGGAACGGTGGATATCACTGTTCATGAACTCAGTGAACGTCATGGCACATTACGTGAACTTCACAAAGCTACAGGTGGACCTTGGGGATCTATGGGTGAGTGATAATCATTTTAATTTTTAATTTTCATATAAATTGACATGAACGCTATTTAACCCTTTCCCTTCTTATAACGCAATTGAATGAATGAGGTAGGTTCTACTGGGTCTGTCATATTCTGGTCTGGCTGTGGTTTGTTTATGTCGCATGTGATTTGTAAAAGTTGAATTCTGACAAATGTACCAGAATTTCTAAACTTGTTTATGTAATTTTTGGTACACATAGGCTACACAAAGCATAGCATTGTAGTGTAATCATTAAAGTGACAGGCTGTGGACTTAGACTGAGTTGAATTCACCAATGCAGGATAGGAGAACTAGTTCTGTCTTTATTACAATGCCCAAATACGTTCTGAAGCCTTCCCAGCATCCTATGCAGTGGGAATCTGTCCTTGGGAGCAACCTTGGCTGGACAGTGTAGGTGACAATTCATCTAATGCTGAAATCCGATATTTATGGAAATATGCTTCTACTACTCTTTATGCCTTCATGGCATTTTTGACCTTTACCTTACAACCAGTAGCACCAATTAAATGATACATGTCTGTTTCAGGTGTTGATTATGAATTTGAACACATGCTTGAAGATATATTTGATGCTGAATTCATGGTTCAATTCAAGCTTAAGCGTCCAGCTGCATATGTAGAACTTCTGTTGAGCTTTGAAGCCCGCAAGCGGAGTGCTAGTCCTCATCGAGACTCATCATTCAACATTTTTCCACCATTTTCCTTCATTGATTACTACCGTAAATTCAAAGGCAAAGAGGTATGAGAGCTTTGTTTGAAACATGAAATCATATGTATCTTACTTTCAGAATCTCTAGTGTTAACAACTTGTTGAGGGCTACTTAAATATTCATTCCAGACTATTTTTCATATAATAACAATGAATTTAATATTTTCTTTGCATAAATCTGCTGTTATATACTACATTAAAAAAATGTATATTTAGTAAACAACAAAAATTATGATATTTTTTAAATATGCTTTCATTTCTAATTTTATGAATGATAAAAGATATTCAATAATCACTGGATCCTGTCCTTGAAATGTTGTGTACTTTATGAAATCAGATAATGGACACGGTGAATAATATTGTAGTTCTATACAGCTTTTTTGCATTTGATATTTTAGGTTGAACAGGCTGTGAAGAAATATGGCAGGAAGGATATAACATGGTCCACTCAGGGAATGTTGCGTCTTCAGCCTAATGTGATGTTGGAACTGTTTAGACCAATGATGGATAAAATAATACAGGTTGGTTGTTTAACGCATGGGCACAAAATTTTTCCTCCAGCCTCTGTGTCCAGACTGGCTCTGGGGTCCACCGAGCCTCCTATCCATTTGATATCGGGGTTCTTTCCCAGGGGTAAAGCGCGGTCAGGGCGTGATGCTGACCACTCACCCCTATCTAGTGCCAAGGTTAAGAATGAGTATGAACTATAAGCTCTCTCCCTCCAAGCGCCTACATGGCGTATAGTGGGACAGCTTTTATTTTGCCTCTTTTCTTATAACGTTAAGAGAACATTTCTTTCCTGAACAAATGATCACATAACACCCATTTAATTTTAAAAAGTATTGCATTTAAGTTTTCTGTATCGTGAACAGGTTATGTAAACCATGGTCAGTAGAGGTTAAGGGCTTCTTATTACTGCCAAATTTCAGATATGAATCCTGGCCCAGAATTTTGAAGCTAGCATGAACTAAGAAATGCCAGGATGATTATGATTAAGGAGAAATGAAAGCAGTAGCAGCATCCACTTTGAAGGACTGAGGAAAGAATGTTTCATCAGAAATACTGTCAACATGTTACATTTTGTTCATCATATTTGTTTATGAACTACATACATTTCCATGTGTTTTAGCACATTCAAGATGTACTGGAAAGTCCAAGAGTAAATGGCATCAAGTTTTTGTTTCTTGTGGGAGGATTTGCAGAATCCCAGATTCTGCAGCATGAAGTTAGGAAAACTTTTAGTGACAAAGTGAATGTCATCATTCCACAGGTAAACTTAATATTCCTTTGAATTTCTCAATATTAATGTGCATTTCATTTTAAACCTGGAACATCACACACAGTGTGGATCAAACTTAATTGATCTTATCATAAATAGCTCATGATACAACAAATTGTATCTACATAAAATATAAATAATAATATCTGACTTCATGTAGTGTGAATAATTATGCAGTAATATATTTGTATCCAACTTGATGAAAGGGATTGTTGGCATTCATTTGGTTTACCTTCTGTTTTTTGGGAAAATACATAGCAACAATGCAGAAGGATAATTGTGGAATTACTGGTACTTTCAGTGTAAACCTACATTAAGCTTTTGATACTAAAGAGATTCAAAACACTTGATTTTATCATAATTTCATTTTAGCTTCAAGAGAATCTTTCATTATATGGGATTCCTCACATATATTATGGGTATTTGGAAAAGAAATCTCAATACTTTCATATTTTTTTCTGTTTCCATTGCATGTGCTACACGTTCTATCATCTAACATTCATGATTTAATTAATGTGTTTATGTACAGGGAGTGTCTTTGACAATCCTCCGAGGAGCAGTGTTATTTGGTCTGAATCCAGGACTGGTGACGATTCGGCGATCAAAACAAACTTATGGTGTGGGCATACTCAAACGTTTCATGCATGGGGTTCATCCTCCAGGTAATTATTACACAGGGTTCAAATGATGAAGTCATACTTATTATGGGATAATTCTAGATCTTATGATAAGAGAACAATCTCTTACAATTCAGTTATCAGTTTGTCATTTAGGATTCTTTCTTTTCTTTAGAAAGAAATGCAGACTAATGTATTATCATGTCCATGCCCAAACATTACCTTGCAGAAGACGACGCAGATCTTAATTTAAATTGTCCATTATTTTTGTACTGTTTTAACCAAAACTGGAATATGTTAACGAATTTTAATAAAACTCCTCAGTGTCAGATTTCACGAGTTCATTTCAGCAGTTCTCAAAATGTTACATGCATTCAGGGAGACAGACAGAAAATAAGACAGACATGCACATAGGCATATTTTTTGCAACTTTGAATTGCAAATGCACCTATAAATGTGTAGACTGAAAAAAATTCAGTTAATAATAACTGTTTAACTATTTCTTTTCTTTTGATATGGCTGTAAAGAGAAATTAATTGAGAAAGATGGCGTGGAGTGGTGCGTTGATGTCTTGGACAAGTTTGTTGTGGCTGAGCAATCAGTGGAGATTGGGGAGACTGTGGTACGTCGATATACTCCAGCCATCCCTTTTCAGAAATCTATTGTCATCAACATCTATAGTGCTGACTCTGCTGATGCACAAGTAAGGACCTTGACTATATGGAAGATGAAGTTTCGTAGTCTTTAATACCTCTTGATATGACTTGTGAAAGGAATGACTAGACAAGTAGGAAAGGAAAAAGTGAAAGAAGTTAGAATGTACACTGTATTAATGATCATAAAAATGGGTCATATTATAGTCTACTTATTTATTAAGTATATATCAGACAATGGACAATTTTCTGCATAATTTGTGGTTTAACTTTACCACTGATGTGAACCTTTATCACTAACTTTAATTTCAGCTAAGTTCTGAAGAAACTCAGTGTTCCTATTTATTCTGTCATAGTTCATCACTGACCTTGGAGTTCATCGCTGTGGAACCCTAAGCCTGAACATCGCAGACATAAAAGAAAACGAAAGTAGCGACAGTCCTCGTGAAATTCACACGCGCATGGTGTTCGGGGGAACAGAAGTGACAGCCAGTGCTCTTGATATAGCAACAGGTCACACAGTGCATGCAGAGATGGACTTTCTTACAATTTCCAATGATACTGAAGTATAAACATAAAAGGTTCATCACAAAGAAACTTTAATTTTTGTACAGAATTCCACCAGTTAACCCTAATTCCTTCAGAATGTTATATAGTTTTGGTCATGATTTTTCTACGTGTTTTTCCTATAGGTCTAACATATTCTACATTCTCCTTGAAGCTAAATTGAAATTTCCCTGACCCCATTATAAGTTGTGTACAGGGTTATTTAACTTATCCTCTCTGCTCAGGAGGTAGCAAGATGACTTCTTTGGGTCATCTTCCCTAGATGTGTTGCTTTCTTATCAGCTACTGGTCACATCCATCTGTTGTTGGTTACTAGCTTCTTCCTCTCCTCTTACCTGACTGCAAGTTGGACAAGCCAGACTTCCATAAAATCTGGATCATCTGGATTACAGGAGTGCAGGACCATCTACCAAGTCAGGGTAGTAGCCATAACCACTGGAGGAATAAAGTCTAACTTTGATTTCCTACACTTGATTAACGTGTGTTAGTATAAACCCCAAATATCAAATTTATGACTAGATGCATATGTCATTCCAGTCTTAAATATACAGAAGTCGATGTACAAACTAAGGACAAATGAGCCTATTTAATATGGGTAAAAAGTATACTCCAAAGTAATAAATAAAAGGGTTGCTTAAACTTTACAATATATTTTATTAGAAGAACACCGTTTCAGATGGAGCCATTAACAACTGACTGTTGTTTTGCTACAACAGATTGTACAAAGAACATAATATAATCAAGAGACATCTTGCTATCATAGGTATAGAAAAAATCTTTTTGATACAGTATGTAGACAAAGCTGTGACAAATATTGAGGAAAAAGAGGATATCCAGAACATTTAATCAGTAGCATTGAAAGTTCATATAATATTTTGGTAAGAGATGCTGGAGAAATAACAATTAAAGTAATGATAAAACAAGGAGTTAGGCAAGGTTGTAGTTTGTAAGGACAAAAATAACACAAGATGCAGTGATAGAACAAATTGCACATTTTAAATATCTTTGCTGTGATATTATAATACTTATGAACTAGAATTAAATAAAATTAAATTCGTGGCGTAACAGCTCCAGAGAACCAAAGCCGACTAGCTTGACTGCTGGCCTCAGGTTCACATGCCTAAGCAGAGGTGAACGATCATCCAACCAGATACAGGGTGACGTATGGTCAGCACGATGAACCCCCAGCCATTGCTAGCTTTCCTGACCAAGCCAGCGCGCATTCTGTATCGCCGGTCCGAAGCATGATGCCTCAGACCGCGCGGCTACGCCGCGGGACAACTTATGAACTAGATAAGGACATATATAAATTACATGGTTTTCAATTGGTCCTATGTAGCTAAAATACCTGAAGAGCAAATGCAAAATAAAGTAGCAAAATAAGGTAAACCAAAGGGAAGAACTATTGGTAAAGTAAAGTAAAAGTATCTACTACACACCAAGGAGGCTGGTAGGAAGGGCTGGATTTCCCCTTGGACTGATCTGAGGGGCAAGACACCTTTCCAGCTTATTAGGTTCCTGTCCCAAGACAATAATGAAATTCCTGTTGGATAATTTGTAGGTGTGCATGCTAAAATAATTATTGGTTGTCATGTACTCGGAGCTTTCTAGGAAAGCATTCAAGTTGCAGAAGATTAATTACCACAAAAATTTTGAAAGCCCACAATTGATAGGTCAGTTCATTCCTAGAATTTAAACAGAACATGGATTGTAGATAAGAAGTAAAAGGAAATAACTTGGTAACTAAACCATTAAGTTCTGCAAATTTTGTTGTTTCATCCAGTTTTGTTCAGTTAATTTTGCCCATGTTTTCTTCAGTTTACCTATGTTGCTTTCATTGCAAGCCCACATCCAAATGTTTATTATAGATCCAAAAAACTGCTTGAAGAGAATCTTTGGATTTATGGGGTCCCTCAACTATAATATAGGAATTTGAAAGAAAAGGTAAATATTTGGAGGCTCCTTAAATGGCAAGATCCCGAAGTTGTGCCTTATTTAGCTCACCCATAAATGTAACTGCTTAAAAGTCCACCAATCTTGATCATATCACCATATTATTTGCCTTTCATGACAGGTTTGAGATCTGTACATCTTGTGAATATGCAAGGTCCCTAGTTAAAATCCCTAGTAAGAATAACCTTACGTCTCTCCTCCTCTTGTCAAAGTGGAAAGCAAATTTATAGGAAAAGAATACTACTGTATGAAGTTTTCATGATAGTGTGGTCTTCTAGGTCGTTGCACCATGTAGACTAAAACCCTGATGAAGCACGTCCCTCCAAACCGTATATGCAACCGAATGGCCACAATCTAGGCCATCACTGCCTATGCCATACTGCTGATGCTCCAGTCATCAGCAGACGTTTGCGTGTATGAATAACCCAAAGATACTTTTAAAAACTCTTTCGGTATCTGTAACGGGCCCTTCGTTTCTTTTATTGCCGCATTCTTCGATATGTGGAAAACGACATCTTTAGTTCATACATGTCTCATATTTGTGTTGAAACGAAAGAAGTTGTCCCAACGCATCAATTCGATGTGAGCCCGTGATGTCAACAGCTTCTTGCCTGTGGAGAGTAAAGAAGTGGAAATTTTCAGGAAGACATGCAGAGATATTTCGTGGATGTCTGATCTCTACGAATGAACTGTGCCCCGTTAAATTGCCAAGGCCACGAATAACTAGTTTTGGTCCGACCATTGAAGTGCATCAAAGAATCATGTCATCGGTTGAATTTGCAAAACGCGTTGCTGCCGTCAAAGCAGTTGATGAATATGTTAAGGTAACTAAGCTAGGTGTTTAATTTTACCGTACTTATTCCTTAATTGATATAACCGGGTATGTAGCGGATTGTATTGCTGTGTAGGCACGTGAAACGTGGTTTAGTAACCCTAACCTCAAATTCTCTTGCAATATAATTTCTGCCCTTTCTTGTAGTCTACCCCTTTACGAGCTATTGTTTTACACCTACATTATAAGATTGAGAAAGGGAATGCCGGCATCAACTATTTGCATAGCCGGAGAATTGTTTTGAGGAGGACTGCAATAAAACAAAACGGTATAATTTTAATCTAGTCATTGCAATGATGAAATCACTTAGGAAATTTGTATAATGGACCTCATTTTAGTACGTTAGGTATTATTATTATTGTACAAATGAAGAACGTAATTTCGCGGCCGATTTAGTACTCTTGTTAAGAATTCTGGAATTTCTTCATTCAAATCTCATTTCAGAGACCCATTATCGTGACAGGTTTTTCGTGGTAAGTACAGTACATATCACAGTATTACTGCAATGTGAAGTTAATTTTACTTTCCCTTTCTTGCTGACGTATTACTGCCATAGGATGACTACACAGTGAAACACTACTATGTGCTTAGTGTTTATCACTGTCGCAGAGGTTATGTAGATCAGTGTTCTGTGTATGATGCTGCCATGTGTATGTAATACAGTAGAGGGTTTATGACATTGATTATGTGGACTGTTTGCTGTGCTACTTTTGTGTTAATTGAAATATGTTTATCTCATTAGGATAACTACAAAATTGGTGTTGGAAGTGGTTCTACAATTGTGTATGCTGTTGAGAGGTTAGGTAAGTACTGGATACTACGTAGTGGGGATGGGAAGCTCTTACTCTTCAAAGCAGCAGTAAAGATCTGTTTGTTTCAAAAAGATACCCCTTAAGAAGACAATCATCTTCGTACTTACTGCCATGATAACCTCAAATCTTAAATACCTCTTGCTGTGAAACATGTTTTGTTTAAATCTAATATAAGTAACTAAGGTGTTCCCAGAACAAATAGCTTCTCTTTTTACATACACAAAACATTTACAACAAATTATCAAATAACAATTAAGTTATTACATTTACATAAGGGCTTGACCAGTAGAAGTGAAACCCCAGAAAATGTGAACTATATTATTTTTTTCACAGATTCAGATCACATTAATGAATTGGGCATAATACAAAAATGAGTCCTAAGGAAATGGGGTGGATGAAATATTTTTCCTGTTATATTGTGTGTAAGTGACTTATCTCCATCATGTCAAAGAGTGATGTAACCAATTGGCAATTTGTGAATCATGGTGCATCTAGAAAGTTGAAGATGAAAATTAAGTTTCTGCATTGTGGCAGAAACTTCCTTGTACTAAGTACTGATGTACCCAGTATGAGAAATGAGAAAGGCACAAAAACTGATAACTGTCAGTCCAAGTTTTTGGTGGAAGTACATGATATCTTATTTCAGGGTCCATTCTTCACCATTTCACTAAGAAGTGTGGAGTAAGAGATACTGGAAATACTGCATTTCTACAAATATGCAATCATATTGGTAACAAAAAGTTTAAGATCTTAATGTTTAATTGCAGTTTGATATCAAGATGTTAATTTTCCTTTTCAGCACAACGAGTGAAAGATGAAAACCTTCATATTGTGTGTGTTCCAACATCATATCAAGCAAGACAGCTCATCGTGAACCACAAGCTTCAATTAGGAGATTTGGATATGTATCCCAAGGTACAGTATCTTGTGTTGCATCCTTCATTTGAACATCATTGAGGCATTTGTTTCTTGAGAGCGTGGGCTGTAGTATCTTGCAAAGTGTGGCAGAAAAGGCAGGAATTAAAGAATTAATAATTTTGTTATACATGCACTTTTATACTTTTGCTCTGTCATGCTTTTGCCAGCATTAGTAAATAACTTTTTTCTCAGAAAGACCAGTTACGCAGTAGCAGCTACAGAATATGCTTATGATATAATATCATCTTCAGACTTGTTTACAATTTGAAGGAACTGTATTGCAAATTTAACTCTGTATGAGTGATGCAACATATTTTTAAATTTAAAGTTGGATTGTGCCATTGATGGTGCAGATGAAGTGGATGCCAATATGACACTTATAAAAGGAGGAGGAGGATGTCTCACACAAGAAAAGATTGTAGCTTCTTGTGCAAAGCAACTAATCATTGTTGGAGATGAATCGTAAGTAAATTCTGTTAAATAGTACTGTAGTAAGTGTAAGAAATTTAATAACTTCACAGCTACAAAGTTGTCAATATACAGTAAAACCTCTCTAACTTGGACACTTGCGGTTCCACGATAATGTGTCCAACTTACAGAGGTGTCCAGGATAGAGGGAAAGGGGAAAATCATCCATTCAAACTGTGGTGTAATGACAATATGGTAATTGTAGAGTATTATGGAGCCCTTCCCAAAAAGGAAATTACTGATAAGAAAAATCAAAAGATTAAATTAAATTTTTACAAATTTTGTTTTCACTAAATTAAACTTGCCTGGATAAGCTCAAAGGGAAGGGCACCAATACTTTACGTTTACCGACAATGTAACTTATTTACTTACATAATCTAACTACTGTAATTTCTGTTAACACTGTTTAACTCAGTTGCAAGCACAGTACATTACAACCCCTCTATAACGCGGTTCGCTATACCGCGGTTCCAGATATAACGCGGGTACCTCATGTCCCCCATAGTGCAGAAAAAAAAAGAAAAAAAAAATTCATCAATTATCCTTCACACAGAACTCAAAATTATATTAAAATGCAAGCCAAATTAATTATTTATTACTTTTTCCGTAAAAATCAATCGTAGCATAGTGAAATAAGTATGTATACTCTTAAGTGTCGATAGTCTATCAATACTGTACTTGTACCGATTTTTCTGATGCACTCCCGTAATAACGCGGTTTCTCTATAACGCGAGTTTACCCCTGTCCCCCGTGACCCGCGTTATAGTGGGGTTGTACTGTAGTGACAAAGTTAAAACTGCACCAGCAATACCTACTGTAGTCCAGTGAAAGGTTCAACAAAAGAATAACTATACACTTTCACTGCTTTGCAATGATGTGTTCAATGCCTCACACCCTCAACCATAAGCTAATCCTCAGGTAGAAGGCATTCATCAGCCAGAAATTCAAAATAACAAAATACTAACTGAAAATGTTTTCCATAAAAGCATTGAAGCCAAAAAGCATGAACCTGTCCAACTTACAACAAAAGGGGTGAACAAGTTCCAGGATAAAGGGGTGTCCAAGATATAGGTTGTTGTGGACATATAAAATTATAGGATATTCGCTGGTACCAATTAAAAGTGTCCAATATAGAGGGGTGTCCAGGATATAGGGGTGTCCAACTAGAGGGGTTTTACTGTATTTGTAAGTTTACAAAATTTAACATTTAAAAGTTTCTGAGATTTTACTTATATTTATATGCTGCGAGTTTTATCAGATGTAATTTCACTTAATCACAGACCAACGTGGTATGAAGGACCATCCAGATACATTAAATTCTTCCAGTTATGAATATGAGTCCCATTCTACATACTTCCTGCAAATTACACCCTGCTTCACATGTGACACTACTGTTAATGTAGTCGTTTTTTGTTGTAGCTTCAATAGGTTGGAGGAAATGAAGTTTTGGATAAGGGAATTAAATTGGAAGAGAAAAGATCCAACATCAATAATTTTTCTGTAAATGTGGACAGAGATGAAAAGCATAGTGCAGAATGACAATAAAAATATTTACTTCTCAGATCTGGGAAAATATTTTGTGCCAGTGCAATATACAGTAAACATTTGATGTATTATTTTCTGGTAATGGTGCCAATTAAGTTTCCCTTTTTTTACTTTGTTCACAAACAAATGGAACATTTATCTAAGTTGTGCTTGATCAAGTGCTCTTAGCAAGGAAGCTGAATATCATCCTTTTGTTTGAAAATATTTTTTCTACATAAAAATATATATAATTTATTTTGAATACATTGTATTTAACATACACTGTATCTTACCAGTTTTATAATGTCTTCTTATTTTGAAGGAAGGAGTCCCATAAACTTGGTGAAAAATATAAGAAGGGTATTCCAGTAGAGGTTATCCCCATGGCTTACTGCCCTGTGCAGCAGAAGATTGAAGCATTGTATGGAGGTGTGGCGGAACTTCGAATGGGAAAGATGAAAGCTGTATGTTGCTTAATATTGGTTTATGTTAATGGAACATACCTGAGTATATAAAGAACAGCTTGCTTCTGTGTAGGACATTATTCTGAAGTTCAAAATATGCATATGACTTGTGTTTATTGATGTGTTTCTGTTCAGGTAAATGAAGTATATCTGGATGAAATATCTTTTCTGTTAATAGGGACCTCTAGTCACTGATAATGGTAACTTTATTTTGGACTGGAAATTTCCAGCTTCAGACTTTGACTGGGCTTCTGTCAACACTGTCATTAAAATGATCCCTGGTATGTATATTTGTATTTGTTAGGGAGAAGAGAATTAAACATTGCATTGGTTGAAAATGTTTGAAAATACAATGGTCTGGGAATAACAAACAAGAAATAAGTATAAAGTGAAGCTTTTGCGGCGACTGAAGTTGATGAAAGACTCTCCGGTTACAAGCCACGTCAGCCACCTGACTCGGCTTGTAACCTGAGATTATTTAATCAAACGAGAGAGAAGTTAATTAAATTAGGGGAAGAAAATATACATGAACTTATTGAGTTCAGAAACTGTAATCATCTCTTCTGTTCTTCAAATCAGTGAAGCTCAATATATTAATACATATAAAACAGTAGTTTTACCATTTGTTTTGTAAGGTTGCAAGAAGTGGTCTCTTAATTTAAGGAGAGTAAGTAAAGTTGACATTTCCCAGGTTCTTTATCTAAATACTGTGCCATGTAGATGTGTAAAGGAGTGGAGATATGACTCCATGTATTCTTTATCTTGGCATTAGATGGAGGTTTACACTTCAGTCACTTTACCCCTGCGGAAATAACCCTAGTAATAAGAACATAAATTACCCACAGTTGATTGGAAACAAAGTGCTCAGGAAATTATTTGTGTCAAAGAGGTACGGCATAGGAACTTCGGGTCTTATGCGTATCACTTAGAATTTTCAGTGTAGTGACCAAGAAGGAAGTCAGTGGATAACACGAATATGGAATGTAAGAAAAGGGAATGAGGTATGTGGCAAGATAGCTCAAGACTGGATAGCTGGGGTTCTGTCCTCCATCATGTCCAGACTGGCTCTGGGTCCCATTTACCATCCTGATACTTAAGCACAGAGACTCATTAATCTAGGAAAATAAATAGTGTGGAAATTGGATGAAACTGGCTCAGGATGATTTGTAGTGGTAGGCTTTGATGTTTGTGGTGTTGTACCTTTAGATTGAGAGAGTTGGTTAGAAATATTTATTTGCTTTTGAAGTGAAATACTGATCATTATTTTTTATAGGTGTGGTGGAGACAGGCTTGTTTGTTAACATGGTCACCAAAGTGTTTTATGGTACTGCCGATGGAACAGTGAAGGAACAGAAGATATAATCCTTTATCAGGATTATTTTATTACAGGTAAACAAAAATGTGAAGTTATTCTCAGTATTGTATTTGTCATATTTTGTGAAAGATGGCATTATATTTTTAATTATGACAAGTGTCCTTATTTGTTCATCCCCTCCCCCAATTTCCAGTCATTAATGATTTAGACATGATTTTTAGTGTCGTGTGTTAACACGTTCACTCCCAGTTACTCTGCTGCTGGAGCCCAGCCATTTCAGTGCACTAATGATTTTTTGTATTACATGGTAAAGCAATGAAGGACAATCAATTAATTGATTATTCAAAGAATCACGGATGTCACCAGTCACATGGCAGTCTGTGCAAAATGCCAATAAATGACCGTACTCAGATACAGTTTTAAAATGTGTCAATACTGAAATGATTTGGTTTATGAAATATGTGTATAAGGAAATCTCAGAAACAGACCAACAAACTGCATTCTTATTTTATGTTCAGGAGTTCCTATTTTCACTTCTCATCCTGAATACAGGTTATTCTCATGAATTTTGTTGTTCATTTTGGGCAAATTCTGGTATAGTATGTTAAAATAGTCTTTAATTGATTTCTTCAATATCCTTCTCATTTCAGCTCCATGTAATTGCACATTAATAAATAGGATAATGAAAAGAGCTTGTAGTTTCCAATTGTTCAAAGAAGTATGAATGTGAAGAATGTGTTGTGGACTTTCTGCTCAGTCATGTGCTTTATTTTCTTTTTGTTTATTCTAGTAATTGTAATTATTTCTTGTTTAATTGTTTATGCAAGTTAAAATTCAAAATATAGACTTTGCTACTCATCTTAGCAATTTATTGAGTTAGGAAATGTTAAATGTACAATTACAACACAAGATTATGACAAATGCAAGTTGATGAAAATTGATAGTGCTTTCTTGTAAACAAAAGTTGAAGTTGCCAGTTCATTGTCGTTCCTCTGCCATTTCATACAAACACATAAGGATATGAGTATGCATAGCCTGAAATCAAAACATAGTGATATAAACATACTATTACACACTATTATGTTTTCAAGTATCTAACTGCCTGTGAAAAAACGCATTTTCAACAAAACATAATAGTTAAAGTTTCTTCTTTGCTTAATTAAACCCATCCTGAGGCAAGTAAATGTATTCCATACTTTAATATCCATTTTAGTATTATCCTCTCATTCATAAATCACCTAAATGGTCTGTTTTTCTGATTTTGCATCTAAAATTTTGTATGAAATTTTTATCTCTACCATGCATGTTACATGCCCTACCCATGTCATCCTTTGATTAGATCACCTTAATAATATTTGTTGAAGATTTCAAATTATGAAATGTATTATGTAATTGTTTCCATCCTTACATTACTTCATCTCTCTATATAAGTAGCTGACTAACACCATGGAATAGATTCCTCTTGAAAACATTTAGTTGCTTAGCTAGTAAAGAAATTTCCCGTCTATTCTGGAACCTGAAGATTCATTATTATACTCGTAATACCCCACCACTCATCTCTATCTTTAGTCAGATGAATCTAGTCCCCAACACTCTCACAAGATGTAGCTATTATAGGTATTATTATGCCATCAGGTTTTCTAACCAAAATTTTGTATGAATCGAGAGTTTCACCCATGTGTGCAGCGTGCTCTGTCCATCTTATCTTCCTCTTCACCTGAATGTGTTATGAAGAGTAAAATTACAAAAGTCCTCATTATGCAAATTTGTTACTTTTGCGCTGTTGGCCCAAATATTTTTTTCTTCAGCACTCTGATCTCAAACATTTCCAGTCTTTGGACTTCCCAAAGGTTGAGAGACCAAATTGAAGTGGCATGTTAAAGCACAATTAATAAAGTTTTTTTCTCTTAGTTCATACCCTTATTAAAAATTACTAAAACAGAAGTTTATATGGCATGTATGGTGTTGGTTACAGAACTGAAGTTATAACAGCTGTAAGAAAAGAAATTAACTGCTCTTTACAGGAAAGTTGCATGCCTTGGAATGAATTACCAACTGCATGAAAATTCCAAAAGAAACCAAGTCAGTTAATGGTAAATCATAATTTGAGAGAGAAAATAAGAGATGGATGGAATGAGAGAACCCACAACAGAAGAAAGAGAGGTTTATAGCTTGAAGAAGAAGAAGAGATAAGCTGATGATGTGACATATTAATGACGGTTATAGCGTAAGTTATGCGTATTAAAGCACATACTCTTTCACTAGCCCCATATTATCACTCTTCCCTTTTCTTCTTTTGGCTCTTATCGAATGCTACTTGTCAATTATAGGTTAAAGTTGGGAGTTATTAATGTCCTCCATCCTTCCACCATCTTAAAATGTAGGATAAGTTAAATTATTGAAGCAGCATTGTTAAAGGTTTCTACGTGCATCAGTAAAAGTTATGCATATGCTGTATAAAGATGACTTTTGAAAATCTGATACAGGATTTATAATTATGAAATAATCAAATGACTTCCAGCTAATAGAATTGAGCATTAAAGACTGTTAATGACAACATCCATCATTGGATAAGATTATGAGATAGCTCAATATCTTTCTAATACATTTTCGGTGTTTCTAATGACTGCTACCGAAGGGGTTTCCCCACAATAATTCTGTATGCATTTTTGTTTTCTGCTTCAAGCTACATTTTTGGTACATCATAACCTCAATTTTTTTTTTTTTTTGCTATCCTAACAGTGTTATATATGAAGATGGCTTTCTTCTGGGTTGTTTTACTATGTAGCCTGGTAGACATTCACTGACATTTCGGAGGTTATTGCTGCTTCCATCTTCAGGGTGATGAGTTGTTTATCGTCCTGATGGACTCAGCAAATGTCCCTGAAATGAAAGTGAATGTCTACCAGGACACATAATGCAATAACCCAGAAGACAGCCATCTTCATGCTTGCCACCTTGAGAATCTGAAATTTCTCTCAATATTATATGGCTTGAAAGTAAGAAATATATTTCATAATTGTCGATATACTGACCTAAATTTGGGTAGCCATATGAGTAGGGTGCAACATAGCTTGTGTAGTAGGGTGATGTGTATGCGCTGTAAGTGAGTGCAGATGGGTAGCTGTAGGCAAGAGGGTAGAGGCTTGGTTTGGGTGCTGGCACTGGAGATGGAGCAGCACAAACCATAGCCACAACTGCAACTAGCAACACCAGCTGGAAAGTAAGCCATAGTAAGTAAAGCTACATAAGCATGATTATAAATATTCATATTGGGGGAATGTGGCCAAAATTCAGAAATTATACATATCTGAGCAGCTGTAAAAAATTAATATGTTTAGTATTTTTCTAATTTTGATTATGTCATACTATTTGCATGAGTATTCTTTGAATACTCATAATTTAATTGTGACTGTGTTTATTTATATAAATGTTACTTAAGTAACATCCGTTTTTTGAGGGAGTTGGCTGTACTGCAATTACTTCATGTGTGTATGAAATAGGCCTGTACTTTAGACAGTCTACGGTGTACGTGTTACCCATATGGGGTCTAATGAATAAACCATTTTCATTATTACTAGAATTTTCTAAAGGGGGTATTCAAATGAGTTCTTCACCATTCTGTGTTTCTCATTTGTTACTAACGGAAATCTACTGTCTATTAGACTGCTCCATAGTTTGAATATTGTGTTGCTTAAAGGCACAGGTTATTTTTAATCAGATTTCTGTAAATCTGAACCTCGCTTTATTCTACATTTAAGTTACGTATCATATTGATGCTTCCATCGTGCGTCATATAACTTCCGTTCGTAACGATGAGCCTTTTCTTTGAGATAGTGTATGACGTTCAATTTGAGTTTCATGTAAAGTAGAAGTTGTCGGGGCAAAACAGTTGTAGTGCATTGCGCGTAATAATAACTCGTAATTTTAAAAAAAAATTCTTCCGTTAGTGTGTTTCCGGGATATCAAACAATCCATTCGAGAACTATCGAGATATATCGTGAGTAGCATGCAAATGGTTTAGGGTCCGGTACGGGTACTCACAGTAGCTCTCATTGCTGACGGCTGAAGAAGGACGCTCCTCGATGACCAAGGGACGCAACTGTTGGCGATGTGCTGCTTGTACGCCGGAGCAGCAATTTATACGCCGACCCCTCCCTTGTGATTTCATCACTGTCCATTATTTTGTCCATCTTTGTGACGTCAGAATACTGGCTACGAATCTGCATTTTTCTTTGTCCGTTCGTTCTTTCATTGCGAGAATGTTTTTGTGGTAACAGGAGAGTTTAAAACTGAAAAGAGGTGGATGGGTTCTGTCTCGGTTGCAGTGAAAACTTGGTTTAGGTGCTTCGAAGTATAATCACGTTCGGTAGAATGGGAGGGGGGGGGGCGATCTTGATATGAGTGAAGACACTGTTGCAACATTCGCCTGGAAGGACTGAGGAAATCCATGACAAAATTGATGATAGTTACGGCTTTTGGCAACTTGTTTGCTAAATTAGCAAAGTTTGGGGACGAAGTGGAAGGTTATGTTATTGATTGTACTCGCCGCGAAAGTCTCAAATCCTATATTATTTTATTTTCTTAATTATCTCCACGTAGCGAAGTTCCTGAGAACCTAAATAGTCTCTCAGTTGGTGAAAAAATGACCTTTCGTGATAAAATTATTAATTGAGATCTATTTTAATGTTATCCTTCTGAAGATGGCTGTCTTATAGTTTGTTGCGTAATGTAGTCTGGTAGAAGTTTACCTACTTTTCAGAGGTATTTTCTGCCTCCATCATCGGGGGTACTCATCGCCCTGATGATGGAGGTAACCATGTCGGCGAATTACAACCGGACTACACGGCCCAACAACCCAGAAGACAGCCATCTTCAAGTTTGTTAAGTCTTTTAGACAGATCTATTTCAACAATCTGATCTACAGTAAATGTTTTCCGGTGTCTATACTCATAAATTTTATTGCGTACAAACTGTTCACACTTGCTTGTAGTGAGTTACATGAAGGTGAACTTTAATGCAGTCTAATTATTCCACGTACTCAATATTAACGAGAATTACGATTATTACAATTTGTACTCTGAGGAATATTTGTTGTCCGATACGTAGCGAAATGAAATTCACCTACTATCCTCACTACACGCCTTGAAAGCGCTTCGGGGAGGAGAGATGGGATGGTTAGATGTTAGATCGCAGATGGTGCTTGACAGGCTGGCAAAGAAAGATTTCCAGGGATGCTTCCAGGCTTGGCAGCGGCGCTGGGATCGTTGTGTTCACTCCCAGGGGAACTACTTCGAGGGTGATGGATGAATTTAATACCTGAGATAAGTGTACGGGTTTTTATACGCGCAGTCTTGAAACTTTCCGATCGCACCTCGTATGCCTAGTCCTTCCAAATTATCTCTTCATTTTAAGTTCCCGATTAAAATGTGTGTGTATATCTTACCTCTCCAATACTTGCTACATGCCCCGCCCATCTCATCCTCCTTGATTTGATTATCCCAACAATAGTCTAAGCATAGTTATTTGGTGAGCCGACGAAATTTGAAGTGTGTTTTTTTTGTTCCCCCTATTATGAACTCACTCTTAAACTTTTGGGTTCTGTAAACGTAGGTGATTATAATTTTCCGAAGAAAAATTCAGCTCCAAGGAGTTGGTTGGCAAAGAAGCTGTCACTGTTGTACACAGAACTGAAAGTCCGAAGGCCTTGTCCTACACGCAAACGTGGCCCGCGCTCCGCGGTGTGTTTGACACCTCGAAGAGCTTATGTAATTACCCACCACTCATAAAAACAAACACCCGCCGTCCGCTAATCTGTATTCTAGTCGTCGTTAAGAAGCAAAGAAACGTGTTTGTTCTCTTTAATTTTAATATTTCATGGCCGTAGAGTTGCATGCTGTCACATTCTTTTATGGTCTTGGCTATTAGTGGAGAATGGCGCGGAGAATGTTCATACCCATCTACAGGCAGGAGTATTAGGAAGGGTTTTGAGATACTGTTTACGTACCATTAATCCTTTGATAACTGTGTTGAATTTAAATTTCTTCAATTTTGGTTAAACTTTAAACATTAACAAGGCACGGGATCAGTCATTGAATGTTGCAGGAACTCGATAAGAATTCATTGTTCTTTGGACAAATGTATTATGCTTACACCTGAATTGGCAACTCAGACAATTAAATCTCTCTAAATATGGAAAAATTGTAAATGTAGTTTTACATAAAATTGTTGTAAGAAGTTCGTAGTTTTACCATCTTCAATCCTGGTAGGATAATTTCTTACTTTGGTTAACGCGAATATATTCACACGTTTATTATAATGAATAATCAACTTCAGTACAGTTTATTTCAAGAAAAACCTACGCAAAGAACGTGATATTCACCTTATTATGAAATAACAGGAAAAGTTTATGACCGAATATGAAATTGCCGATGTATTGTATTAATTTTAGCACTTTTTACAAGACATAACCTATTGGATAACTGCCGTGAGCTCAGTTTAAAAACGCGGAACACAGGAACGAAAATGTGACAACTTCCATTATCCTTTAATATCTAGACACGTGTGAGTCCAGAGTATTACGCAATCTTTTCAGTGTACGCATATTTATATTTTAACAGCATTACTACATAGTTATTTTAAACCTGTTTCATCTCCAACATGTAGCCCATCCGTCTACCCTATTAAAATGCTGATTAAGGATGTTGTAATCATTATTGTAGACCACTTGTTCTAGAACTTGGCCTTGAAAAAACCAACAAATTATGAAGGCATAAAAAGTCAATAATTGGATTTTAACGAAAGAGTTGAACTTAGTTGTCCTTGAACAAAGGCCACAAGGGATGGGCAAGGTTGGAGTGTTATTATCAGGCCACAAAATATGCTTGGGGGGGGGGGGGTTAAAAACGAATGTCTGATGTATTCAGAATTTTTGGATGCTTCCAGACAGGTTTGAAGAATTCGTAAGAAACTGATAGTGACATTGTACCTGCATTTATTTATGGAACACTGCAGAGTACATTCAAGATGTACTGTCTGAGCGGAGAATTGACTGCACTTTAAAGCCGTGATGACATCATACTGAATGCTGTTCTAAACACAAAATATTTTCATTGTTGAAGCAATCTGCATGATATTTGTTATGATGGGTGTTAACATTGATCAGACTAATGTATTAAATACTAAACATAAGAGAACTGGAAGTCAGCCGATTTTTCTATACCGCGTGTTAGAACGGCTGTCCGCCTGTGCAGACGTATACTTGTGTTTGAAAGTCGAGTCAATTCTCCGCTCAGACTGACGGTATGTTCTCCGTGAATTTTAGCATGTCTGAATTTTGTTGCCAGTTCTGAAAACACGACGTGATTAGAATGTTTTTGATTCGCCCGTCCACTCAACTGTTCGCAGTAGAGTCATCATAGCTGTGAAATTCTTGTGCCGTACAACGTGAGAGTTGAAGTGCATTCAGAAATAACGTCTGTTTTATAAAACCTTCTAACAAATAAATGTTCAAACAAGAGGGGTGAAACACTAGGAAGTTTACAATGGCAGTTATATTGGTGTAGTATGCAAATGTGTATTCAGTAGACAGTAATTAACAAAACCAAAATATTTTTCAGTTGGAGGCAATATGTCTGTAGAAAATGATTTCGGTGTGTTAGAGAGTCAACAGAATGCAGGACAAATCCCTCGGCTAACATTAAGGTGGAAAATAATTTAATTTACAATGAGGCACGTTTAAAACATTTGAGTACGAATGAAAATCAAAATTACATTCGCGAAGAAATTAAGAACAGATTTCTACGATTCAGTTAGATTTAAGTAGGATTTGAGGTTCTCACGGCGGCGAGTACGAAGATGGCAGTGTTCTGGGTTGTTGCGCCATGTAGTCTGGTAGAAGTTTACCAACGTTTCAGAGGTCCTTGCAACCTCCATCATCAGGGCGATGACTCATAGATGATGGTGGACTGGAAGACGCCTAAATTGGAAAAAAGTCTCTTCATATTTGCACAGACCACGGAAAAGGAAATTGCGCCTGCGCAAACAAACAATCCTGAATTAGCTGGCTGGTGAATCCTGGTTGTTATTTTCTCTTTCACGCAGACGCAATGTTGTTATTTTACATTATGCAAAGACACATTCTTCAAAGTTTTGTATTTTTCGAAAATCTATAACTATACGAGGTGCGATCGGAAGGTTTCCAGACTGCGCGTATAAAAACACGTACACTTATCTCAGGTATTAAATTCATCCATCCCCCTCGAAGTAGTTCCCCTGGGAGTGAACACAACGATCCCAGCGCCGCTGCCAAGCCTGGAAGCATCCCTGGAAATCTTTCTTTGTCAGCCTGTCAAGCACCATCTGCGATTCTGCCTGAATCTCTTGCCAAAGACTCGCCAAAACGGCTACGGAAACCTATGAAATGCTAAAGCAAGCATTTGGGGAGTCCGCAATGGGTCGTGCACAAACTTTTGTGTGGCATTCACGTTTTAAAAATGGCCGAACCTCTGTCGATGATGACGAGCGTTCTGGCCGACCATCTTCGAGCACAACGCCCGAAACTGTTACGAAGATCGACGTCGTACCATCACTTGTACGACTTGTGCGACATTGTTGGGATAGGCTATGGGGCCTGTCAGCTGATTCTAAAGGAAGAACTCCACATGCGACGCAAGGCTCCTGTCTGAGGACCAGAAGCAGAATCGACTTTTCGTTTGTCAGGAGCTCAAAGATCTTGCAAGAACCGACTTCAACTTCCTTTCTAAGCTCCGTGTGACTTCTTCCTCTTCCCAAAGATGAAAATTCAGCTAAAGGGAAGGAGATTTGAGACGATAGAAGAGATTCAGGCAGAATCGCAGATGGTGCTTGACAGGCTGACAAAGAAAGATTTTCAGGGATGCTTCCAGGCTTGGCAGCGGCGCGGGGATCGTTGTGTTCACTCCCAGGGGAACTACTTCGAGGGTGATGGATGAATTTAATACCTTAGATAAGTGTACGGGTTTTTATAGGCGCAGTCTTGAAACTTTCCGATCGTACCTCGTACATCATTGCATGGCCCTATTGCAAATGGCGCTAATGTGATTCGACCTAACAAGTTGGTTTGTCAGCCATGTTGATATTATCGATTTCAGGTTATTGAAAAGTACTTTAGCGTAGTCTTTAGTGGCATAACGTCCATACCAAATTTCATCTAAATCGTCCAGCGGTTCTCAGTTTTGAGTCATACGGACAGACATGACCAACTAGCGTTCATTTCATGCGTATCATGCAAAGAACGCATAACTAAATTATCTGAAATCTCACAACGTCGTTTAGAGGGTTCCGCAGAAGAAAAGGTTTTAGAACTTCTAGTCTGGACAGTTTACTTTTGTAGATCGGATTTATATTTGGTAATTTTTCGTAATTATTATAACTTAAATTCATCTGAAACTTTAAAAGAGCAAAACTTGTATAATGATGATGGCTTTTATACAGATAAGTAGTGTGTTATAAATCTTCACAGTGCTTTTCGATTGCATTGCCGTATCTTAATTAGTTATTCAAGTATGATTATTTTAACTAAAGGACTAACGAAAAGACTTGATATTTAATTCATCCTAGGTAAATGCGCGCAGAACAATTAAACTTAGCATACCACCGAGGCAGTTCCAAATGAGGAAGAGATTCTCTCTCGCTCCTTCAGTACCAAGGCTTTATGTATACATTGAAACATGCCTGCTGCATTGCTGATTTATCCTTGGCACATAAACCAAGGAAGGCACTTTAAATTTTTGTTCCGGTAAGAGTGATTGACGTATGGAAAGCTCTGCCTTGGTGGTAATTTTACCACAAGATTTTCATGAAGACACTGCTTTTTTTATAATTAACCAACCCAATAAAGTGATAATGAGGAAATCTCCGACTTTTTTTCTCAATGATCACATTCTTATTATAATAGAGCCATTACCTCATTATACACGTATTGCCCTCTGCCAGCGAAGGAAAACAATTGAACTCGCATGACGAGCGACCTCCATCACAGTAAAAATTCACTGACATGTCTCAGACATTAAAACATAACGAGCTATTGTATTGTAGAGTCATGTTGATGTAATTATTTTGGACTGAATTAACAGATCAACGTTGCTATAGATTGTGCAGTCTCAGACTTATTATAGAAGAAAAATAATAAATTGAACGGTCGGGGAGGAGATGAAAGATATCGACAGGGTCCCCTATACATAAGGGAAAATTATGTTCAAAAAGACTTCCTTGGTGAATACTAAAAACGGGAAATTTGTTTATTGCACGTTCCAACACGTGGTGTGTGGGTTCCTCGTTTTTCTATTTGTATACAAATGGCGTCGGACTTTTGGATTCATAGGAACAAACTAAACAACGGAAAAGGACATGAGATTTTGCAACTTCGATACTCAAGAAATAGTAGTATTGGACAAACTCACTGGAATCGGTGGCAAGGGAATTTACACAGTCGATGGAGCAGCCCACCTTGAAAAGTTTATGATCAGAGTTGCATTAATTTCTGCTGGTGGAAATCTGAAGGTTCGTTGTGTTTACAAGAGACTGGCTCTTGACTGTCTCCTGCGCGAACTGGTTACAATACACGCAGTTCTGTACTTCTCAAAACAGGGGTGACCATACACCATACGAAAAATGCGACTAAGATGATACAACCCCCATTTGTGTCCAAATGTGGACAACAGACAATCCAAACAGATTAATGTATTTTGCAACGCGTCGCAGGGTGAAAAGCATCCGTAACGAAATGTTAGAAGCTTGTATCGTGGTACTATGATTTTAGAAGCCTAGCATATATGGGTCGCTCGTAAGATAAAGGTTACGATTCTGTCAAATGGTGGGCTTCGGTAAACTAATAAGACTAGGTGACCTATATAGGTAACAAGTTCTTTGTTATGGACTATTCTACATTGTTGACTTATGTCAGGGTCATTCCACATTAAGTCAACACACAAGAGACATAAAATGCAGTTTTACTTTATTTACAAATATTGTACAAGATATTTTAATTTGAAGTACATTACAGTGGCAGGTATAAATAGTACAACATACACAAGATGTAATTGCACTGCAAAGCAAAGCTAATAATAAGACTAGTGGTCATGTAAGATAAGGGAACATTTTTATTTTTATAGGATCAGAGTTAGTATGATGCTATATCATTAGTAAATTCAGTGACAAAAACCAGACAGTAAACAAAATAGCTTGTTTGGGGTCTTGAGAAAAATGTTGACTGAAAACAGAATACTAGAGGACTGGTATAAAGATATCATAAAAGAAAAATTGATTAAATACTCTCGGGCTACAAGCAACATCAGGTGGCCTAACTGAGTTCCCATCAGCTAGTTCACAACAAAGGAACAGAGATGGTTCTTGAAACGTTGACAGAAGATTTGGTTTGTTCTCCATTCAGCCACTACGCGGCTTGTAGCCCGAGAGTATTTAATCACCTTCAGTTGCTGCAAAAGCCTCACTTCATACAAAAGAAAAATTGGGTAAAGAACTATATGTATTAAAATGGGAAGGGTGACTAGAGGTATAATTTTTTAAATAAGTCAGTTGGAAAGAAAAAGTGTTAGTCATGACACATAGTACAAAGAGAGAAGAAATTTGTAAAAACCAGGAATATCAGGAGATCTTTTGAGAAAAATTAAAATATAACCTGTGCTAAGAAAAATACAAAAAACAGTCATCATGATCAGATCAGGCAGGAGTCAGACAAGGAAGCATATTATCACCAATATCTTTAATGTTATAATGAATAAAATCTGCAATAAAATCAGAGAAAACAAAAGTAACAGATTTAAAAGCTTTTACGTATGTAGATGACATCTTGATAATATATGGGCTG